TAGTGTTTGTTTGGGCTTGTTATGTTATGTTAGACATGGACATGAGTTTCTGTCCGATAGACCTGAATCAAGGATACCTATCTCTTTCTGTTTACACCTTGACTCTAATCTCACATCACATCAGACAGATAGATGACGGTAAACATGTAATTCAACAATTTCTTCATAGTCATTCTCGCCAAAAACCTTGCGAGTCATGATGGATATTTGTACAAAGCACGCAAGACATTAAACAAGTCAAGACCTTGATAACCTTGATTAACCACCAACTCCTCAAGAAATGCCATCTCCCCGCGATAGCCTTTATCAAACCTGGCTGATCCAAAGGACCATGAGCCCAAAAACGCCTTTCCATGATTTGATTGATTCCAAATTCGCCGTGTCCGAAATACTCCGCATCCGCGTCAGTGCTCCTTTTACAACTCAGGAATACCCTCCCATGTCAGCTGGTCGCTGCAGTTGGTGACATCGCGTACTGTCATGCCCGTGATATTGAGAACCGTCATCTCGATCTCCTCCTCACTCATTGCCTGGCCAGCCGCCTTTTGGCCCTCAAGCACATCATAGAGGCTGTAGATCTGATCGTTCTTGGCCTCTAGTTGCTTTAGGAGAGTACGGATGCTCTCTGCGAGACTCACGCGCTCACGGCGACCAAGAGCCTTGTCACGAGCATTGTACTTGGCTTGGATGCGAGTCAACTCAAGCTGGAGATGATGAGACTCATCCTCCAGACCCTTGATGACCATTGCCAACGCGTGGCCGGGCGACTGAAGGGGACGCACTGTCGGGTCCTCAACCGACAGATCGCGGTCACTAACAGGGACCGGTCGGGGGACGGTGACGCGCTTCTTGCCAGCGGCAACATCGGCCGACGAGAGAACACCACGATGAGAAGTGATACGGCTGCAGACGGTGCAGTTGCGACAGTTGTGCTCGCAAAGGTTGTCAAGAACGCGCTTGGCATCGCTGGAGAGAACAGGGCAGGTGTCCTTGTCCACGCTCTTGATGCTATCAGCCGTGACGTCGGTCACCATAACGTGCCTCAGAGAGGTTCGTGACTGGGAGCGCGTGTGCTGCGATCGCTCACTGTGGACCGTCGTGTTCTGAGTCGTGTTCTGGGTAGTCGATTGCTTCTGCTCTCGGGACTTGACCTCCTTACGGGTCTTCGGGATGACACTCAGTTGAGTAGAGAAGTCCTGGGTAGTGTTGTCGACAGACTGAAGACCGGTCGTCTCATCATTATCCTCCAAAGTATCCATGTCATAGGTTGCAATGCCCTTCATAGCGTTTCGCTGGTTAGCCTCAGACACCGTTCGGCGCTTGCTACCGTGGTTGGCCACGTTGGAGCCGGTCTTCTGCGAAGGCTTGACCGGAATCGAGAAGGCAACCTTTTGAGGCTGGTTGGTCTTGGAAGTCTTGCTCTTGCTTCGCGATTTCTTCGACTCGCTCTGTGCAGTGACATCACGCTTGGTAGTGGTACGTGTCTCTTCCTCCATCACATCGGGAATCGTGGGGAGCTTGGCACTGTCCTCAGTAGGCTCAGGAAGCTCCTTGGTCTCGGTGTTCTCAGCGTTGCCGTCAGCGTCGACCTCATTAGTGTTGGTGTTGATCGTGATATCGGGAATGAAGAAGGCCGAAGTCATGTTCTCCTCGGTCTCATCGTCAAGACGAGCAGAGAAGTCCTCCTTAGGGGCGGGGCGGCAGTGATCGAGCTGTTGCTTCAGGAACTCAACCTCGTCCTTGAGCTTGAGGTTCTCATCATGAAGGTCGTGAATGCTTCGCTCAAAGCCTGAGTTCTCCCGTCGAAGCATCTTGTTCTCGCCAAAGTACTTCTCGTTGTGTCGCACGAGGCTCTCGTTGTCCTCACGGAGAGTCGACTTTTCCTGCAACATGGCCTGAAGTTCTTGCTGAATCGCCTCGACTTCCTCCTTGGCGGCGTCAAGCTCATGCTGGAGGCCATCGAGATTCTCCCGAAGATCTTCATTCTCGTCCATCAAGGCCTTGCTGTTTGTCCGCAGCGAGCGGTTCTCGCTGATCAAGGACTCGTGTTCCCGGCGAACACCGGTGCTGTCCGTACGCAGCGACGCAGCCTCCTCCTTCAGACTAGCATTCTCCTTTCGCAGTGTCTCGTTCGCAGACGCAAGGGACTTGTTCTCAAGGTCCATCGAATCACGGCCATGCTTCAAAGACACGAGATCCCGTCGCAGAGTGTCGTTCTCGCTGCGGATCTGCTCGGTTGTTTCCAGCTGCTTGTGGGTGGTCTCCAGCTCCTTCTGCTTCGTGCTCAACTTGCGTGTGAGCTTGTTGATGTCCTCGCATGCCTCCTGCAACTTTCGCACGGCGCGATCTCTTTCTTGGGCCATCGCATCGTTTTCAATTTCGGCAAGGCTGACCCTTCGCGAGGTTTGCTCCAGACGCGACTGAAGGGTTGATACTTCCACTTCCAATCCTATTCACAAGTCAGTAGGATACTTGGTACTCAAGGCGGGTATCTCACGGTTCTTCTGGGTTAGTAGCTGCTCATTGACCTGGGCAGAAGCCAACTCCTGATCAAAGGATTTTCGCGACCTGAGCTGGGCCTCTAGCTGCTCGACTTGTTGCTGGAGGTTCTCGGCGTATTCTTGCACCTTGTCATAGTGCTCCTGGAGAGAGATGATCTCTTCGCGGATCATATCCATCGACACAAAGATCTTCTCTTCATCTTCAGGCACCTCAAGCTCGTCAACCTCGGCATGGCTAGCAAGAGAGGGCTTCTCGAATCGGTCGTGGACTCTGCCATGCTTGACAAAGATGGGGACTCCATTTCTCATGGCGCCGCTGAATTGAAGCGTGCCATCAACAAAGTCACCCAGGTGGGAGACTTCTGGCAGGAAAAAGGAGCGCGCGTTGCTCTCGTTATGGGCAGGGCTACCCATGGAGTGGGGCGAAGAAGGTACGGCTGTTAGGCTAGACTTTGCTGAAGACATCTGTGGTGATGAGCGTTCGCGTTGCTCCTGGTCTCGTTGGTTAACTCTGGGGCTCTGTGACGCGCTGCGAAGGCGGTTGAGAGCGTTGGTGAGCGACTCTCGACGTTGTTGCTTCTCCTCAGCCAAGGACTCTGATGCCACCCGCGTGTGGACCTTAGACAGCGGACTAGGGTTGTGTGTGTTCTTGCCCCAAGAGGGGTTGGAAAGGGCTCGGGCAGGTGACTTGGCCATGAGTGAAGACAGGTCGGACTCGTTGTCGACGCGAGGTTGCATCTCGGCGCGGGTTCTGTTGGAGCCCAGCCAGGTGGGATTTGTCGTGTCGTCGGCAAACTTTTCTTGAAACTTTGTGGCGGAGGCAGGAGGTTTGTTCTCCTTGGACTCGGCGCTCAGCGGCCGTGTGTCGGTGTTATCCTCGAAGACGGGCACCTCGCGCGTCTTGGGCATGCCAAAAAACTCGGGCCACTTGCGGTGAGCAGCCTCCCAGTTGACGGGCAGGTTCTTGGGAGCGGTGACACGAGCAATGTCCTCGTTAAGCCTACGCGTAGACTCGCCGTCCGGGTCGGAAAAGACAGATGACAGTGTAACGGTGCCGTGGGAGCCAGTGGATTCGGGCGGTGAGTTGAATGGGTTGTCGCGGTTGGCCTTCATTTCTCTAAGGATGCGAGAGCGGTATCTGCTAGCGGCGTCCACCTCCATGGCTCTTTCTCACGCGTGTGGGCGCGTGGGAAGAATGCGAGAGCTTGGAAGCTGAACAATGATGGAAGGTGAGGTGAGGATGCAAAAGCACCCGTGGCGCGTGTTTGGGAAGGGTATGTCGTGATTCGGGATGTTGAAAGGGATCAATTCTAAATGGATTGAGGTGTGCGATGCATCTAGAAAGTAGAAAGCGTCGCAAGAGTCATGAGAAAAGAAGCGAGGCACGACTTGATGGAGGTAAGAAAGTGAGGGACGGTGTTTTTGGCTGAAAGAAAGAGAGACCCAAGTGATTTAGTTGTGTTTGGGTCGAGCCAGGGTTGAGTCTGTTTTGGGACGAAAGTAAACAAAGCATTGCCGTCGGCCCCACTTCGGCAGCCACTCAAAACGCGCTGGCTAATGGCCTGAAGCGCTAAAGAGCCACTGAAGCTTGAAGCGATTGGGCAAGGTCAGCTCTTCACTCCACGTCTTTAGAACGAAGCGCGGCGCGGGGCTGTTGTGTCTCGTCGGGTCTGATCCACGCTGCAAAACACCCACCACCACCGAATGCGTTGGCCGTGGCCCTTTTCTCGCGTTGAGTGTGCATGGTCTGAAAAGTAACATCGCGTTAATGTAGGTACAGTGCGTTAAGACACGTCATTTATGTCCATGATAGGTTTATTCCTAGCGATTACCCTATGCTAAAATGCATATCCGTGTTAATTCCTCTCAATCTGCCTACTTCTCAGTGATTGCCTTATCGTTGACTTGAAATGGCAGCATCACGTCTAATTCCATGATCTTGCATCATGAACCAACACCATCCAAGAACCATGCTCCAAACATGTTATCACGGCTAAATAGCTAACAAGACTCGATCTCACACACATGACCATTACTCCTCATCGCTTCCTTTACCCCTTACTCACTCACCGTTTCTTTCAACCCTAAAAATCCGTTCTAGAATCTCCATCTAGTCATGTCTTCGCAGTAGTTCTTGTGACCTACTTGTTTTGGTGGTGGGGCAGATCGTCGCACCTTGTCTCGACTTCAGGACCCTGACCGATAGATAATCTCGACATTTCTCCGTCCTCTTTCTTGTCTTGTTTCTCGTTTTCCTGCATTTTCGTATACACTTTGGTGTGGCTTTTCTTTCTTGAGTTTCACTAGTGGCTTCAGCCGCCTCCTTCTCTCCTCTGGTGCTGGCTCATCTCCCTCCTATCAACCTCCGAAACCGCATCGCCACATTTCGATATGGATCGCCTTATCTCGTAAAAACCGCGCGTCAGGATCAGCAAGCCTTATACTTCACTCACGACAGGATTCTTCCTGGCCTTGGATCAGGAGTACCTGCTTTCTCCCATGGCTCGACGAATAGTCACTGCTGGCCTCGCCAGCTTGATTGCGATTCAACTGACGTCAGCTGCTCCGAACCGTGAAGGTACTCGTCAACATTACTGTCCTGTCCTCTATACTGAGCCCCCAACAAATTGTCGCCCAATTCCGGAGACCTTTCTCACTTTCTCATCCAAGGTCCCAAGGTCTGCTCCTGCCGAGTCACATGTACTTGAGGATGCTGTCAGTGCCCTCTCCGTCTTGCAAGATCGCTTCTTCGAACCCGATTATGCGACATGGCCGTCTACCATAGACTGGACAGCCGCATTTGCAGGGACCGCCATTTCTGGCATGTTGACGACTTTATCCAAATCCATCAACTCTGTTGATCTTGATGGTATCAACGATTGGAGGGTCAAGGAGAATGTGATATCAACATTCTATGCACAGTTGGTCGGGTCTTACTTTGGACAAGATGTCCTGTCTATCCGTGGCCAGGTACGCATATTAATGCATCTCGCAAGCTCGATTCATAGGCTAATATTGTGACCAGGCGTACGACGACATCCTCTGGGTGGCACTTGGCTGGATCGAGGCCATCAAGTTCGTGAGAACACACGGAGATCTGCACTATTCAACAACCAAGTCTGAGGAGATCGCAGGAAGTGGCCTCAAGCAAATCATTGAATCCATGCCTTGGCAGGGCTACAACTGGTTCTCATCCTTTGCTCATCGCTCCCGTATCTTCTGGAACCTTGGCTCCCATGGATGGGAAACCAGATTCTGCAACGGAGGCATGGTCTGGAATCCTCGTCTCAACCCATACAAGAACGCCATCACCAACGAACTTTGGGTATCCGCTTCGATATCCATGTACGAGCACTTCCCCGGCGACAACTTCACCGCTCCATGGTTGGCAAACGCCGCGTTCCCGGATAACGACCCTGCGCATCTCGAGGCTGCTATGGAGGGGTACAACTGGCTCATGAATGTCAACATGACCAATTCGCGTGGTCTGTTTGTTGATGGGTACCATATCGACCGGAGTAAGCCTGGCAACACAAAGTGCGATATACGAGATGAGATGGTGTACACGTATAACCAAGGAGTCTTATTGACGGGCCAGAGGGGACTCTGGGCTGTGACTGGAGGCGCATCGTATTTGGAGGATGGTCATATCTTGATTCAGTCCGTCATTGAAGCCACCGGATGGAGCCTGAAAAACAACAAGCCTGTGGATGACCCGAAACAAGTGCGCCCTGGTCCGTTGCCTCCCTGGCGAGGTCTCGGTCGAGGAGGTATCATGGAAGAACAATGCGATGCGAGCGGTAGCTGTTCACAGGACGGGCAGACCTTCAAGAGCATCTTCTTCCATCACTTCGTCACCTTCTGCGTTCCACTTGACCCTCTCCGAGTGGAAAAGGGCATGAAGGTGGATATGCGGCGCTATCGGCGAGTGAAGGAAGCGCATGCGACGGCCTGCAAGTCATACCTGGGCTGGGTTAGGCATAATGCTCTGGCAGCTCTCGAGACTCGCAATGAAGCAGGTCTCTTTGGTATGTGGTGGGGTGCGGGAATATTTGATGCCATCGTCACTTTGGATAACGACGGTATCGATCACAATGCAGAGAACACAACCGATTATCGCAACCAAGGAACACCAGACGATGAGACGTGGGGAGGACGCCACAGGTGGCTTCCAGGCACAGGACGTTGGGTTGCATCTGATCCAGAGTCAGATGAGCCGGTCCTGGGAAGAGTTGCTGAAGCCCAAACGCCGATGAATAAAAGATATTCGTCTGGGGAAGTCAAACCAAAGAGACAAGACCCCAACGATCGAGGGAGGGGACGAACGGTAGAGACACAAGTTGGAGGGCTCACGCTACTTAGAGCATTTTGGGAACTGTCCCAGTCGTATTGATGATTACATGGAGTTGTGTTTACGAGGGGTATTATCATGATGCATTTATTAGACTTGCCATTTATCTGGATAGACAGACACTGAACATGTTTACGTTTACAATGAGTATTGACACTTTTTCTTTACACGTTAGTTAAACAAGGCGTTTCGCATTCGCACCGGAGCAATTGACTTTTCCGCATTTACCTGAATACTACCTCTCAAAAATTCAGCCCTACGACAGAAAACAACTCCTCGGCACTCATACCCGTGTTGCGCCTCTCAACTTGCGACGCATTGCGGCCTCCCGCGCACACGGAAGCGAGTGCGAAGGCCGAGTTGGCGGGGCTGATTGGCCCGGTGCCGGAAGAGTGGAGCTCGAATCGGCTTCTCCACGTCGGCGCCAAGCCTTTTCGGGGATGTTGATTCGAGATACGGCGTTGCGTCAGCGTGGCTGCGCATTCGCATCCATGGATGATCATTTCGAATGGAGGGCTTGTTTGGGAATGATAACGAGGTTGAGAATGAAAGGATTCGTGTATAAGAGGTAGGATAGATCGCGATGCGAGAAGAAATTGTCTCTACATCCTCACCAAACTCAAGAACAGTCTTTCAGACCTGCAACAAATACCCTACAGCTCAACCAAGTCCACCAAGGATCATCACTTATACCACCAACCCACTTCATCTCTTACTTGATACCACTTTAAATCATCAACATGGGTATCGTCGGTCTTATTGCTAGCCATGTCCTCCCTCCCTCGGAGAACTCTCGTCGTTACAACACCAACTCCGGCGGCTGCTGTAACCATCGCATTCAGCCAGCCTACCTCGTCCAGCCCCAGCAACAACCCATGGCCCCAAACATGGACTACGCATATATGACGACAGGACGCGCTTCGTGTCACCAACGCAAGATGGAACGTCGCTACCAGAGAAAGATGCAACGTGTTGAGCGGGACATGCTCCGCGTCGAGCAGAGAGCGGAGCGAGATCTGCAGCGTGCCGAGAGACGGGAAGCTGGAGTCATGCTTGTTAAGTCGGGCATGCAAAAGATTGGCATCACCAAGGGGTCTTCTGGAAATGTTAATGTACATGAGACGAGGGAGGCTGGGGGATCCTTTGAGATGAGGGATATGTCTTCTGGAGTTAGGGATACACGTCACGACAACGTCTTTGAGCTGGATGCTGTGAACCAGCGGCACACTGAGCGGGACGCACCACCTGCGTACCAGGAAGTTGAAAAGAAGTGAGAGTATGGAGGAGCAGACTGCTTTTATTAGACACGGGAGTTTGGAGTTTAGCTATAAATGATGAATATTAATGAAATGATCTATAAACCTGCCCAGCTCTTGGTGTTTCATTCAATCATGACCAATCACACCCTCTCTGAAATGCATTGGCTCTGGTTGGATCCGTGCCTCTTTGACCTCCGATATCGAACCCCGCCAGCTCGGCCGTAGCAACCCCGCCACCGCGAGAAGAGACGGACTCTTTCTCACGTGGCAGCTAAGAGCCTCTTGAGAGGTACCTCCCTAATCTATATCCGGAATCCCTGAAGCATCTGTGGATTGAAGCTCAAGAATATCACCTCATGAATGGAGCCCTCCTCTGCAAGGGAAATATCGGAGCTGGTTGAGCATCATCAATGCATATTCATGAGACGATAACCGGCCTGGAATCGGCCTCTGATGGGGTTCGGACAGGCCGTGTCGAGAACATCCGCACCCGGGGGGGAGACTTTATAATTTGCAGCACGGTCCTCCATCTGCCAAGTGCCCGCTACGTGCGAATTGACTCACCCGTGGTGCTCATCTTCAGAGCTAACAAAAATTCAGGTCCGATCTTTCGGCGGTGACTGACTAGAGTGCTTTGTTGATCTGCTTTACAACGCAGCATTTCCTGACCTGATTCTTTCTCTTCCTTCCATCATCATACCTCACACATTCCCGCCCACGATGCCTTCAGTACATGAGCCCCCTGTGGTACCCGTCGTCGCCAATGGCGTCGTCAATGGAACCAACGGCGACACTCGGCCGCATACTCCCACCACTGGCATGGCTCTGACTGAGTACAGCGCCAACCCTTCGACGCCGTCCGAGGAGAAGCGCGCTCAGATCAAGGAGATAGTACCAGAGGAGTATCTTCTTCCCACAGGCTACCCCGACGTAAGTTGCGACACCTTGACCAACATGCAAATCGTGAAAGCTCACCAGTACAGTACCTTCGCCTTATCGCCAGCGCCACGTCCCGAGTCTACGAGGCCTGCAAGGTTACCCCCCTCACCCACGCCGTCAACCTGAGCAACCGACTCGAGTGCAAGGTCCTCCTCAAGCGCGAGGATGAACAGCCTGTCTTCAGCTTCAAGCTGCGCGGCGCCTATAACAAGATGGCCCACCTCGACCCGGCCAAGAGCTGGAAGGGTGTTGTCTGCTGCTCTGCCGGTAACCACGCCCAGGGTGTTGCATATTCGGCTCGCAAGCTCAAGATCCCCGCGACCATTGTCATGCCCGAGGCGACACCCAGTATCAAGCACTTGAACGTCGCCCGGCTTGGTGGTCATGTCGTTTTGCACGGCGCGGACTTTGATGCTGCCAAGGAAGAGTGCGCCAGGCGATCGAAGCAAGATGGGCTCATCAACATCCCTCCGTTTGACGATCCGTACGTCATTGCCGGTCAGGGAACCATTGGAAACGAGCTCTTTGGTCAGGTCAACATGGCCAAGGTGGAAGCCATCTTCTGTGGTGTTGGTGGTGGTGGTCTCATTGCCGGAATTGGCATCTATGTCAAGCGCATGGCTCCCCATGTCAAGATCATTGGTGTAGAGGCCGGTGATGCCAATGCCATGGCAGAGTCCTTGAAAAAGGGCGAACGAGTCTTGCTCAAGGAGGTCGGTCTGTTCGCCGATGGTGCTGCCGTCAAGATTCCCGGAGAGGAGACGTTCCGCATCGCTAAGGATGTTGTCGACGACGTTATCGAGGTCTCAACCGACGAGATCTGCGCCGCCATCAAGGATATGTACGATGACACCCGCTCAGGCCTGGAACCAGCTGGTGCCCTGTCCATCGCCGGTCTGAAGAAATACGTTTCCCAGAACCCCTCGAGAGACTCGAAGCGCACGCTCATCGCCGTGACGTCGGGCGCCAACATGAACTTTGATCGTCTGAGATTTGTTGCCGAACGTGCCAGCATGGGTGAGGGCAAGGAGGCTCTGCTTGCTGTTCAGATCCCCGAGCGCCCTGGTTCCTTTGCCGAGCTTATCAACACCATCATGCCCCATGCTGTTACCGAGTTTTCATACCGATACGCGAGCGATGAGGTGGCCAACATCCTCATCGGTCTCTCACTTACAGCACCTGCTGCGCAAAGATCCGAGGAGCTTCGCATGCTTATTGAGCGCATCAAGTCTGGCAATATGAACGTGTCAGATCTGTCGCAGGATGAGCTTGCCAAGAGCCATATCCGATATCTTGTGGGTGGCCGATCCGGTGTTCCTCATGAACGACTATACATGTTCACCTTCCCCGAGCGTCCAGGTGCTCTGGAGAAGTTCCTGGTGACATTGCGGCCCAAGTTCAACATCAGCTTGTTCCAGTACCGTAACTACGGTGGAGACGTGGGCAAGATCGTTACAGGCATCGTATGCCCTGATGAGGAGGTTCCCGAGCTGGAGAACTTTTTGCGCAAGATTGGATATCCTTACCAAGACTGCACCGACTCGGACGTGTTCAAGACATTCCTGAGAACCTAAGACGATGGTGAAGACAGCATGAGCACTCGGGGTTTTGCTTGGGGGCGTTGGGTATCAAAAGAGACCATGATTTTAATTTTCAAAAAAGGAGAAGTAATTGTTTTGGCCGTCGACTTTAGCGTCATCTGTTGGATTGTAGATAGACTAGATTGGTTTGCATGCCTAGGAAATTGGAAAAGTAAAGACGAAGTGGAATCAGTTCCGAGTTGTATATCTGCAAGAGGGAATTATCGTGGTTGTGCTTGTGCCGAAGTCGGCGTTGGTAACCGTCACTATCCGCTTCCCTCAGGTTGAGGGGAGGTGTGTCTCGGTGGGTGCCAACCTAGACAAAGCCATGGAAGAGCATTCGTATAGTGAATTTACTCGACGATAGGTAGATCAAGAGGGAGTTTTTCTATAACCGTCCGTCTTAAGCGCTTGCTCTAAGCGCCGTGAGTGTTCGTATCAAGGGGCATTGAAACGTGATTAGAGTCAATGAAATATCTATAACTTGTTGCATTGCTGAGCTTCGTCTCTGGGTATCGCGGTTGCCTGCTAGACCAGCTCATCGAATGACTTCCACATACGAAACCCCGAGAGCTGGCGTGGTGTTCAGCTGCCGGGCCCTTCGATGACAACTCTCTTCACCTCGAGTTCCTTACTCACTGATCTCATGGCGATAGGGAGGCTGGTGCATGGCTCGGGCGAGCGGCATTACGGTGTTCCTCACGCAGGATTGCTTTTTGGAGATGGGTGAGTGGTTCTGAACTGGAGCCACGATTTAATTTCGCTCCAAAAACGTTTTGCCCTTTTACTCCGAAACGGAGTCTCTCGTTCAGTTCCTTTGGGCTAAAAACAAGCGTTGTAGGCGGTGAACTGCCAAACAGGTAGTCCCGAGTGTCCTGTCCGTGACACGAGCCTACTGCGACATCGCCAGCGAGTTTTGTACGGGTCTAGGTAGTCAAGTTAGAACAGTCTGTTCAGAGTCGACCGTCGGTTTCGGGCTTACCAGAAAAGTACATTTATCTATATAAGCCCTACGGGCTCGGATCCCAAGGAGGAGGACGCGGTCGTTGCGAGCAAGAGGTACGTATACCCAACCGACAAAACGCTTAGTGTAGGCCGGGAAGCGCTCATATGTCTTTGTTGCTAGAGGGGCCTTTGCCGTATGGGCATGGATGCTCATGACCGATCCCAGGGCGTAGAAAATAGTGAGGCCGGTGACTTGAGACAGCTCTATGGTACGGAGCAGGATGGCATCTGTAATATGACCTGATTCATAACCTGTAGAGAGTGACAAGAGCTTCTTTCGTGGAGGAGTTGGCGACCCATATGCGGTCCAGAGCACGCTCTGGTTCACAATTGAGCATGAATACATCATAGCAATCCGCATGGATAGCTACACCCTCTGCGTCGCACGTCCTACATCCCATCTTCCCACAACGAGGCATCGTGTCAAACTCCCACGGGTTTCTACAACCATCTCGAAGTGGAGAATCTGTAAATGGAGACCTGCTCGTGCAAAATGCAGGGCAGGTAGAATCTTCGCTGCCGAGCACTGTGGCATGTTGGTTAGTACCTGGTCAAGGCAGGGTCTTGAATGTCAGATGAGGTTGGCATCGTTGCTCATACAGGCTAGGATGTTCTCGTTAGGTCTCATGGCCTGGCCACAAAGGCCACATCTCGGCTTCCAACCAAGATGAGCGTCATCGATCACGGGTGGTGGTAGTTGGTTCAGGTTCATTTTGGTGCGTTTTCAGTTAATGATGGAAGACTTGGTGTTGATAGGCAGGTGTTTAAGAAGTTTACCAGACGGGACATGGAATTGTGAAAATAAACAGGAACGGGTTGGCTTGCATGAACCAGAACTGAAATAATTACTGAGATTGCTTTCAAAAATGTTATCATAGGGTTACCAGTGCGACGGCCGCTCATCTTTGTCGGTACCTGAGATAAGTTGGTGTAGATCTCTTCAGGTTTCAAAAGCAAAGAAAGAGACTCGCCCGATGTAACTGGGCTTAAAAGACCTCTTCTCATTGGCTGATGCCGATCTCAGTATGGCGGTGCAAGCTTCCAGCGTCCTTTCATGTGCTACGAAAACCAATGACACGCTGGAATTCTTTCAAAGAACTAATACAAAGCCTTGTCGCCCTGGTATTCACGCATGAATAATTGAAGGCAATCCACATGGATCAACACGCCCTCGGGCAAGGGGTGAGCTATGTTGCATGGTTGCTGAAGGCAGTTGCATCGCTTGTTGATAACGCACCCTTCAATTGGGAGTGTTGATACTGGCATGAAGTGCTGTACAGCGCTGGAGTCATCGTTCCCAATCACTGGAACAGACAGTGAGCAAGGAGTTAGACAAGCACAGAGGGATTGGAAGTACCTGGTATGAAACGCTCGTCAGCTTGTATTCCTACGCCGCAAATGCCACAGCGCGGGCGAAAGAAACATTGTATCCTGGTATGGCGCGGGCCTAGATCTAGGCAAGCCCGCAGCGTAAAAGTTGGACGGGGTGGGGAAGGCACAGAAGGCACAGAATGTTCAAAGGGCTCAGGATGCTCAGAAGGCTCAAGAGGTTCTGCAGACGGAGAAGTGGACATGTCGGACACCGGAATGCTGCAACATGAACCCATGTGCTATAATTTCCCTGTTAAGCAGCCCTAAATGTTTGTTGGTCGATGCTGAGCTGGGAACGGTCCGTCAGAAGAAAAACAGTCTCGATCCGACAGAAGCAATTTAACGTGCGTGTTCTAGCGAGCTTCTACTGCCGGGGCTAGGTGGTCAAGGCGTTGTGGCCCTTGCTGCGGCGTGTCTTTCTAGAAATGTTGCATGCGTCGCGGCTGAAAGAGTGATGGTCTGAGCACTGGGAAAGCAAATGAAGTAAAGTAATGAATGCGAGATGAATGATTGCAGATGCAGAGATTCCTACGATGCTGCAGTGGATGTTGTGATCCTAGACACTGGCGCAAGGCGTTCCTTCCTTTCATGTGAAGCTGCCGCCAACCTATCCGTACCTGCCCAGGTAGGTAGTTGGCCTATCTCAGGCAAGCACTCGGTCATTGATCCGAGGAGGAAAGTGCTGCCCGCACTCGCTAATGAAACAGGCAAGGACGAAACGTTTCACAAAAGGACTCTGCGGAGCCTTCTCCTGTTTGGCCAGGATCATCTTCCCTTGGCATCAGCATTGACATCCATTGACAATGCAGCGACTTGTTCCATGCGTGCGTCTCCGTCTCCGGTAGACGGGACTGAATACTATTCTTGGACACAAGCCAGTTGCTGTTGAGACGAGACGGCGTTGCCTGCCCAGAAATTCCCAAATAGCGATCCTGCAGCTCCCTTTACTCAAACAGTCAAGCCATTGTCGCAGCTGTCCTTTCGCATGCCTCGGTAAGCTACAGTACATATGCAGTCGGAAGGAGGAGACACGAGGTCTTCTGACCAACAGCCCCCTTTCCCAGCAGGCTGGCGCGGATCCGAAGATCAGGATCGACGCGGTGGATGGGGAAATGATGACGGCAGAAGGCGGCCACTGCCAAAACGGCCACCACTCACCGTCGAGCCAAGAGCAGAACCAACCCGGTCGACAACCCTGTTCCCAGGTGCGATGGACAGCATCCATGGTAACGGAATCGTGGGTGGCTCTCCAGGAGCACAGCTGAAGCTATCGGGTCGCTTCCGTCCAACAAGCGAGGTCATCTTTCCACTCGGCTCTCCCGCTCAACACCACATCCGTCTGCTGGGACAGCCCAGGCCATTGTTCCCATGAAGCTCAACGTCAGGACCCCGTAAGCGCCCTGTGCGCGCTCGGTCATCTGCGCTTGGTGCCGTCCGCTAGGGGCAAGGGGCGCGACGGCCAGGGTCCTTGGGAGAGGGTCGAGAGGTGGGCATGCCAGCATGGTGAGGATGGCTCCACGGCAGCTCATCATCCACTGAAGCTTCGTCGAAGCATCCACCGAAGCGCCAAAGCGCCCACGCAAGCACGCACTGACCCGGAGCTCAACTTCTGCCATTGATGCCCTGCGTGGCAACCATCGACGCCACTATTAGCACCACGCGCGGGCTAAGGTACAGAAGCACACCACGAGAGCTGCCGTCTCCCTTGGTGGTACCAGCTGCGGGGGGTTCCATGGACGGGGCGGGCGTCCTGCCCAGGTCGGGATGGACTTGCCCTGTATCGCCAATTTGCATTCTACTGAACTGGTCTTCTCCCGATGCATTGCTTGCATTGCCGACGCTTGCTTGCCTTGGTTTGCTTTGTCTCTGCTCCACTCGTCGCTTGCGGCGTGTGCCCCAAACCCAGGCCCCCTTGCTCCCCTGCCCGCGCTCGACACGCTCTTCACTGTGTGACGGCACTGCCCGCCAGCTAGAAGCGTTACCCCACACCAAGCTGGACCTTGTGAGTGTGAGTGGGCGGTGGGCGTGTGAGAGATGCTGAGGGGCCTCTGAGTTGTGGGTAGGCGTCGTGTGTGTGGCGGCCGGCCTGCGCTCCGCCGCGACTGGAATCTTTTCCATGCGGATCCAGTTTACCTTCACGGATCTTGACTTTCCCTCAACTACCTCTGTGTAGCTGTGTGCCAGATAGCTGTTCTCGCAATAGCTTCCTCGCCGCTCCGCGACTGCTCCCCGCTCGGATTGTCACTGCTGCGTCCTCTCGGCCGAGTATTAGAGATCGTCCTCCTTGGCTTCCACCCAAGCTTTGGTAAGCCGCCTACACCGGTCCCATCCTTTGTCTCCGTTGCCGTCATCGCTCACTTCTTTCAAAGTCTACTGTGGCACCTCCACGCGATCGCCCTTGGACGACCAACTCCCACGGCTGCATCGACACAGCAGCTCTCCCGACAACTCGTCCCCTGCCTCTGTGTCACGACGAGGTTCCAAACCGCCATCTTGGACCCTGTACAACTCGCGAGCTCGATATCTGGCCTGTGACGACAGGCTTTGCATCTCTCACCTCATCGCGGGGCCTACGGACCGCTACCAGGCCATCGCCCGGGCCTTTCCTGCATCAACCGTCGATACCATTCTAGTATCAAATTCAAGACGACCTTGCCCTATTCACGTGCGCAATCCTCGATCTGTTGGACCGGAGCATGAGCGTATCCTATCTCATCTTGACTGCCTTTGTCAGCGTTATCGCCCCTTAGTTCCTATTGACAAGGCCAAGCGATCAAACGGAGCGTCACCCCCAGCTGCTGCTGCAGCGGCCTGAGAGCTGGCTGGAGGGGAGGCCGCACTGCCCTCGTTTCCGCGATTTCGTCACCGCTGAGCCACATCGTCCATTGTCAAAACTGTCACCATGAGGCGAGGTCGCTCTCCAAACTCGCCCTCGCCCTATAGGGCACTGGCCCATCACCAGCAGGCCTCAAATTCTGGAGCTTCGTCCGACTCTGTCTCTTTGATCAGATCCTTCAATGTCGAGACAAACCCTACCCGACCCGTCCGACCTTCGCCGCTTACAACATCTCTCATTCGAGATATGCCACTGGATTTGGTTGACCGGATCAGATCGTTCCCCCTTTTCATGTCTGCTCCAGAGGAATTCCTCGTTGCCATCGGAAACCATCTGAAGCCGCAGATCCAAAGCCCCAATGATCACATTGTGACAGAGGGCGACGATGCGAAGGCAATGTACTGGCTAGTTCGCGGCGTAGTTGCTGTGACGTCACGGGATGGCGAGGCTGTGTACGCGGAGCTCAAGGCGGGAGCCTTTTTTGGTGAGATTGGCGTCCTTATGCAGATGCCGCGCACGGCAACCATTATTGCCCGAACGAAATGTCTCCTGCTGGTGTTGAAGAAGGAAGACTTGCATACTGTTATGCCAAAATTTCCCGAGATGGAGAAGGCTATCCGGGAGGAGGCACAAGAACGACTGAATCTTCTTAAAAAGAGAAGACAAGAGGGTGGCAAGTTGCTCAAGTCTCCCAAAGGAGATTTCAGTGCCAGAGAAGCTGCCCCTGGCGAAGTATCTACAGGGGAGAGGGGTGCTATCAGGGACGGTGCCGTGGTCAATTCCAAGAAGAGAAAGTCACCGAGCCCAGGGATTATCGAGGACCCTGCTGCTGGAAGCGCAATTGGCAGTGGCCAAATCAACATTCGAACGACGCTTAAGGAGCTGCCGCTCTTCTCAACTCTTCCAGCCGACATTCTGCACTTTCTTGGACTTAGTGCTCAACCAAAAACCTATACGCCTTTCTCAGATATTGTCCGCCAGGGGCTTCCAGGCAATGAGATCTTCTTCATCGTTCGTGGTGAAGCTGAAGTAATCCACGACGAACCAATTGTCAACGAGGGATTCCAAGGCAATACTCGATTTCCCCAGAAGAGACCACGGTTGAAAGCAGGGCAATACTTTGGAGAAGTTGCGAGTTTGGGCCTCTCTCGCGGTAGGACAGCCACGGTCCGGGCTATCACGACTGTCGAGTGCATCATGATCACCGGTGATGTGCTTGATGAATTCTGGAGACGATGTCCTCCAGATATCAAGTCGCAGGTTGAAGAGACAGCGCGCCTTCGATATCAGAAGCAAAGCGACGATGTTGATATGGCTGACGCCGACGTCAGAGAAAAGGCCAACAAGTCTGATCCGTCGACTCCTACCACGCCTACGCGAGCGACGTTGCCAGGGTTGACCTTCACTACACCGTCCAAGCCGACGTCCCCGGCGAAGGACGATTCTGGCACTATAGAACCTAAGGACCCTGATCCGTTTTTGAGTGTCAACATGGAGAATATTAGGAACCGCCGCCGTCACTCGTTGGCGCCTCCAATTCCACCAACTGACAGTTCTGGAACTACCACTAATGGAGTGAGATCTGGTTCTCGCCTTTCAGAGGTGACACCAATCAAGTTTGCGTTTACCGAGGCCATGGATAGCGACGATGTTCCAGCGAAGAGAGTCAGGACGACCTTACCTCGGCGACCCCTTACGATGAGCAAGCCTGTGCTTTCAGATGAGATCTTGATCTACATTTTCAAGCATGTCGATATTGGGGAACTATTCCGGCTACGACTTGTCAGCACCCATTGGCGCAAGCTGCTGACAACTTCACCCAAAGTTTGTCAGAATGTCGATCTCTCGATTTACAACCGCAGGGTTACCGATGAACTCATTGTGAAGGTGCTTGCTCCCTTCATCGGTACCAGAGCTGTGACCATTGATCTCAATAATTGCTTCCATATAACTGATGAGGGCTTTGGAGCTCTTTGGCGAAAGTGCGGCAAGAACGTCAAACGATGGAAGATGAAGTCGGTTTGGGATGTTTCAGCAAACCAGATTTTGGAGATGAGTGAGAATGCAAAGGGATTGGAAGAGGTGGACTGGAGCAACTGTCGCAAGGTTGGCGACAACCTCCTAGGCCGCGTCGTAGGCTGGGTGGTACCTGATCCGCCACCTTCTGCGAAGCCACCTCCATCGAAGCAGGTAGTCATCTCAAGCTCAACGGCTCGTTCGAGGAGCAAGGCACAACAACAGCAACAGAAGCAGGCCGCGCCTACGATACTTCCACCGGGTACCGTGGTTGGCTGCCCGAAGTTGAAACGGCTCAACCTCTCGTACTGCAAACATATCACGGATCGGTCAATGGCTCATCTCGCTGCCCATGCATCGAATCGCATCGAGTCCTTATCTCTCACTCGATGTACATCGATCACTGATGCAGGGTTCCAATCTTGGGCACCATTCCGATTCGAAAAGCTGTCTCGGCTTTGTTTGGCAGATTGCACCTATCTGTCGGACAATGCGATTGTTGCCCTAGTCAATTCGGCTAAAAATCTCACTCATCTGGATCTGTCGTTTTGTTGCGCCCTCTCTGATACAGCAACTGAGGTGGTGGCTCTTCGTCTCCCTAAGCTGCGGGACCTGCGGCTAGCATTTTGTGGAAGCGCAGTCAGTGATGGAAGCTTGGAGAGCGTTGCACTTCATCTGAACGATCTTGAAGCTTTGAGTGTACGTGGTTGTGTGCGTGTTACAGGACGAGGAGTTGAGAATGTCCTTAATGGCTGCGGACGGCTCAACTTGATGGACGTCAGTCAATGTCGAAACTTGGAGTCTTGGCTGAGGGCTGGCAGCGTTGCAAACTGGGGCTTTGACGATCGAGCTGGTCAGCGGCCAAGGGCGGGCGTCTCGAGCGAGAGTGGTGAGGGCGAAGAGGAATTGCCTGCACCAAAGGCTATGAGCGTCGCGATGCTCACGTCGCAAAACTTTATGCCGCGGTCGGCGTTCGGTTACAGGGCAAAGAGGGCTCGGCGACCTGTTCGGTTCGTCATTGAGAAAGGAACGGGTGGTTTGCGATGATGCAACGGAGTCTTGGGGAACTACTACACTTTGGGAGGCACGGGGTCCTGTTGGGTTGCGGTTGCATGAGGGATATGACCATACAGCATCGGCGTCAAAAGTCAAGGAGCATTTGCGTTTACGAGCCTGGGTAGTTGATGGGTTTGGACAGGTAGCGAGGGATGGAAATGGGTGGGCATGGATGGACATGGACATGTGTTGGATAAGCCAGTACTGCATCAAGGGAGCGGAAGGGATACATGAAAGATACCCTGACGGAGCTGAAGGGAAGGCACTTGACGTCTTGGCTCCCATAATAATTCTGAAGCAAATTTCAATATGATGTAATTGAGGAAATTCGGCCATCGTAAGTCCGAGTCCGAGGTGCGACGGGGCATGGAGTTTGGAGTTTAGCAGGGGCCGGGGCTGCTGACCAACTGAGTCACCAAGAGGCGCCGGAAAATTCCACCGAGTTCCAACACGTGACGTCGGATATCAACGTCATGCTTTACTCCGTCCATTTACCGGAACCTCGATGCATATTATAACCCCGGTCTTCCCTCGGATCCCCGCTTGAATTCTTTCCTTTGTCAACGACCCAATCCCTCGACAACCGACACCTGCATCGCCAGAAAGACGATGTCGTTTACGCTCACACTCCGCCAGGGCCCTGCGCGCATTGCGCAGCGGCTTCCTGTGCTCTCCAAATCTGCCGCCGGCTTGATTCGAAGCTTCCACGTCCCGGCAAAGCCGACCCCCAACTTCTTCACCTCCCGCATCACATCAGCGACCACACGCAATGCTTTCCAGCGCGGCGGTCGCGCCGGAGGTCGATCATACTACCAGGAGTCTGCGCGAACTGCCGCTGCTCCCCAGACAACGACCCGAAGGCTTCTCGTTGGCGGTGCCATCTTTGGTGGTACACTCGTCGCCGTGAATGCCGTCTTCAACCGGGAGACTCGTGAGGATGGCGGCATGCCCGTCTACGAGCGCGAGTACCTCAACAACACCTTCCTGCATACCGGACTCGGAATTGGTATCATCGGCTTGACTGCCCGACAGATGGTTCAGACCGGCTTTGTGTACCGAATCATGGTGACAAACCCTTGGGTTGTCGGTATTGGTGGTCTTGCGCTCAGCTTTGCGACCATGATTGGCACCCGATCTATTAGCCCTGACAAGTAAGTCTTGAGATGAAATTTTGGTGATGAACAGAATCTAACAAGTTTGCAGCTATATCCCCAAGTACGCCCTCTGGACCGCTTTCAACGCCACCCAGGCTGCCTTTGTCGCCCCTCTTCTCGCTTTCGTTCCCGGTGCCCTCATCGCCCGTGCTGGCCTCTACACTGTTGCCATGATGGGTGGTATCTCGATTGTCGGTGCCACTGCTAAGCAGGAGAAGTACCTCTACATTGGTGGACCTCTTCTGGCTGGCGCTGCCATCGTCGCCGCCTCTGGTCTCGCCCCTCTGATCATCCCCGCCACCGCCGTCCGAACCCTTGCCTTCACTGAGAGCCTGTGGCTGTACGGTGGTCTCGCTGTCTTCGGTGGCTTCACCCTCTACGACGTCCAGAAGGTTCTGCACCACGCCCGTCTCGCTCAGGCTGGTGTGATGCGCCGGGATCCTGTCAACGAGAGCATCTCCCTTGAGCTCGACTTCCTCAACATCTTTATCCGGATGGTCCAGATCCTGATGATGCAGCAGAACCGACGAAAGTAAGAGGTGGTAATGGCTTGGGCTTTGCCTGGATGGTGATGACCGTGTATTATTTTTTGGCAAAAGGATGGATTGCTTGGCAAGAGGCTAATGAACTCCTCTCTTGATTTGGCCAGAATGGCCAGTTGATGGAAATTCCCATTTGTAGCTTAGGAACAGGATTATTGAATCAAGAAATTAGAGCAATTGCTCCTCGGTGTGTTTGAATTGTGAATTGATTGATTATTGAAAGATTGATGCTACCTTCTACATGCTAACCCGAGAGAAAGATTTTCCACCGATGTCTTATAAAGCTCACTTCAGAGGGGGAAACGGCCTGAGGTAGTGACTGGGGCACTCATAACCACTGGGGTTGTTCTTGAGGTAAAGCTGGTGATACTCCTCAGCAGACCACCACTTGCCAGCGGGCGCGACCTCGGTGACGATGCCTCCCTTCCACCATTGGGCATTGGCCTTTGCTGTGATGTCGCGCGCAATCTTCTCCTGCTCGGCATCGTGGAAGTAGATGGCGGAGCGGTACTGGGGACCAGTGTCAGGACCCTGGGCGTTGAGGGTCGTGGGGTCGTGCATAGAGTAGAAGAACTCGAGGAGCTGTGCGTACGAGACCTTGGAGGGGTCAAAGATGATTTGAGCAGCCTCGGCGTCTTCAAATAGTTAGCGATTAATCTTGCGAAAGAAGGAGAGAGAGGCTTACGGCCAGTCTTGCCGCCGCAGACGGCGCGGTAGCTCGGGTTCTCGAGGTCTCCGCCAATGTATCCGACCTTGGCGTCGATAAGACCCTTGCCGGCAAAGTGTCTGCGGTAGAGGTGCTCCGTTCCCCAGAAGCAGCCGGCGGCGACGGTACAGAGCTGAGCGCCGTCGGGGATGGGTCCGGCGGAGGACTCTGGGGCGATCGAGAGGCGGGCGGATTGGGTGAAGGGGCGGGCGAGGCGCGCCAGGAAGGGAGGGAGATGTGTGAAGGGCATTGTGGCTAGTCGGCGATGGTATTCAGTTACAGATGGATAGAAAGAGGTTGATGTCAATGTATGTGGTAGAACGCAATGGCTGACGGAGGGAAGATGAAGCTATATAGAAATTTATGCACTCGCCGAGCACCGGCCGGCCGGTCGGTGATGCATAGACGGGTGTTGACAAATACTACCGAAGGGTCCAAAGACCCCGCCCCCCGCCGTTCAAAGGAAGAAAAAAATGGCTGCGTCACCGAAAGCGCCGATGACGATTGGATTGCTAGAGCTCTATTGCCTTTTTGGGAAAGCGCCTCCGCGGGGTTCTCAGCCCAGGGGTCTCCCCTTGCGCCCCCTGTCTGCGCCTCTTTGGAATCAGATGCGGCTGTGTTTTGAATACGCCGGATAAGAGTATCAAGGAGCGTATTTGGAATTGAGGAGGTGAGATTTATATGTATGATGTTACATGTTATGGAATTAATTGCTGTGCAAGGCATTTTACGCTGCTCACCTGGAATCTGTATTTCGCAGGCTTGTGGCTTGGCTTGAAATGCAAGCAAAAGGAATACGTAGGCAGGGGTTTGGATTCCTGTATCGCTGTCCGTGCGAGACGAAAAATGCTCCGAAGCTTGGGATTCAATCCCGGACTTTATGGAGTGGCTTGCCGCATCCGTCCCCCGGGCTCGGCTCTCGTTTGCGGCGCGGCCCGGGGTTCGGTAGATTCAAGCCCCGGCCGCTCCGTATAGATCGGATCGGAAATGACAGGCCACAAAAGTGAGCAGTCACAGGAGCTATATCCATGTATAATAAAGACAATCGATTAATGAGGAAATAACAACAAGGAAGAAAGAAAAAAAGTTGTTGTACAAGAGTTCACACCATTCAACCCAGCTGAGCCCCCAGTCACACAGTCGAGCCAGTAACACTCAAGAAGGAGGCCAAATACCCTTCTCACACACAACCTGCGCAGTCCCCGTAGGTCCCCTCGAAGCATCCCCATCCCACCAAGAAAGAGCATAATCCTGATGCACCTTTTCATCCTCAGAAACTCCCAGCTTCAGGTACAGCTCATCCTGCTTGCAAAAGGCGAGCCGCTCTCTAGTCGCACAGTCGTACGTGACATACACGGGCACTCCAGCTGGCATGCCGTCAGAGTGGCGGAGGTAGTCGGTGAGGCATTCTTCCTTTTCGACTCGGTTCTTGCATTTTTCGCCTGTGAAGGCGTTTTGGGTGTGTTCGCCTTTGGCTGTGATACCGCAGGACCTAGAGAGGTTCAGCAAGGGATGTGGATGGTGGTTCAGGGGTAAGACTTACGTGACCATGTACGGCACAAAAGTCCAGTATCCGCATTCATCAATTAGATCATCGGGCTTGTCGCGGACCACACCGCTGAGTGTCTGCTTCTCCTGGCTGTAGGTAAAACTGACGCCAGCAGTGAATGCTCCGTGACCGATTTGAAGACCCCAGCTGATGGTCTCGCCAAAGGTCACGGCCATACGATCTTCAAGGGTGCATTTTCCGCGGCGACACTCGGCGTTGGCAAACTTGACCTCTTTGCCGTAGCTCCATTTGAGGCTCTTTTCACAAAATGACTCACACTAGATGGTGTTAAGGCTGTCATTTGAAGTTAAGGGGTGTGGTACTTACGGGGTCATCGCTGTGAGGGCTGATGGAACAATGGCCTTCATCGTCCAGTTTGTTGGTAGGCTCACAACCGGTCCATTCCTTAAAAACCGCGTCAGTGTTGATGCTCTGGTATAACTAGTCAAGTATCAGCACACCTCATTTTCACCAATAGCTCCAGTAGAGAAACAGCCATCTTTTCCAAAGTCAAGGCGTGGATTTCCGGGCTGGTCGACACCACGGGGCATCATCTTGTCAAGTTGCTCAGGGGTGATGCCTTTGGGCACGACCAGGCCCATTGCGGCGGGAGCAAGGAGCGCTAGATGAGCGAGTTTATTGAAAGACATTGTCAATAATGTTTAAAGTGTAGGAATGAGTGTGGTGAAGCGGAACGATGAGCAGTCTTATGGCTGGACAACAGGTCAGCCTTTATACGCATTGTTGAGTCCATCACAGAGGTATTCAAACAACATCCAAGCAATGTTGATCAATTCAAACTCGCCCAGCTCATCATCCCTCATACAATCCTTTTGATCCATCTACTCAAAGAGTTACTCAATAAGGAAGGCCGTCATAAGATTCTCACCCAACTATTCATCCCAACGCAAGGCACAGAGCACCCCATGCTTTCCTTACAACAGACAATCCCCCACAGGGCAGAAACGACAAGGTTTAATCCGGCTGCCTGGAGTTTCAACTCTTAACCAAGGTCGGCAGGACCCGAGGGGAACTCGGTTGAACCCCCTGAGGAGATTTTGTGATTGGCCAAGATCCGATCTTGTATGGTGACATGGTGTCAGATCGTCAGTATAAAGGCTATGTTTGAAACATGGCATGTTCATGTCGTTACTCGGTAGTCCCCTGTGCCAAGCGTTTCGAGAATCCTTCTCCAGGATCTGGGGGATCCTTCTCTGGGCCATTAGTTGACTATCCTGGTATATAGTCTCGTGACCACATGTTTTCCAAGGTGGTAGTTAGTATTATTGCGGGGTTGTTTTCATGTGCTTTGTTGATCATTCTGGCGTGAGTTGAGGTGTAGTCCACTTTCTCCTTTTTGGTTTGTATGATGATCGCTCATGAACCTTGTACTTTGCCCACAATGACAATCCTTCTGATTAATTTTGAGTAGTAGGGATGATTGAGAAAGGGATGGTGGCTTGATCTGAATGTAAGGCAGACTCTCATGGTGATAATGCCTTTCCATCACTGTACATGAGCCACTAACAGCATGTCCTCGAGCTGATGACTCGATCTACCAATGAATCTGAGAACGAGAGTCCCTGCGAGTTCAGTCACGTCGGCCCGAATGTTACAAACGATGTTCTTTCAGGCAGGAAGGGAAGTCCTTGAGACTCAAGGCTGAAATGTCTAAGAGTTGATGCCCATTGAAGGAGAGGGGCTTGACCTTGTTGGCCAAGAGATGTATAAGACGATAGACCCTCACTAGATCAAGTGACATTTTGAGCGATGTACTAGCTGTCGGGTGTGCTAGAGAATAGTGAATTCCGGGTCTCTACTCCGTTGCCTCTTATCTAGCCCATGTCAACCAAGAGCAATCAGAACCAGTAGAACTGTCCAGTTAGGTATAATCCCCAAGCCAATCAACTTTGGATTGTTTTCCACACATTATCCAATGGCTTCTTATCTGATTTCGAGGTTGCCTTTCACAATACACGGATTAGGCGATCGAGTGTTTGTCATACATATTACAACCATCTGCTCCTTTACCACAGCAATCATGTGAGACCTTATTTGACAGAATACGATGCCCCATGATGTGATACCTTTAACCCCGGCTTTCCTCGATAAGCATATCAGACGTATTTCCAACTTGGGAGAAAAACTCACAGTTGGTCGTTGTCAACCGAGACGCCTCAATCGATAGCGCCAGCAAACTATTTCCAACCCCTGCAGAGTCGATTTGACAATCGACCATCCCGCCAATGGCTTTGGTCATCATTTCATAGCTGGACACGCTACTGCAAGGATGAATACGATGCACCTCAAGATTCAGGAACAATTCCGCTCGCCAAGACTTGTGTTTTGCTGAGATTGTCGTGTAGCTGTTGGGTATATAGGAGGAAGGGGAGGTTCCGAGATGAGTTGTTTTCTTCCTGCTTTGCGGTAGCACTCTCGTTAATACGCTCGTTTATTCAGTTCGTGATGGTTTCAAACAAGTTGATGGCCGTTGCCTTTGCGGCACTGGCTTCTCTGGCGGTTGTTGATGCTGGTGTCTGTATACCACACGGCACCACTACCATCTCATCGACTTCAGCCACGGAGACTAGCAGCACGGCTACTGCAGCTTCAACCTCTGTGACTATCGAGACTGGCTCTACAACCACCTCTGGAACCGCCTTGGCCGAGACAAGTTCGACCACAGCTGAGACTTCATCCGGAACTACTTCAGCTTCTTCAGTCGAGACAACTTCTACAACCGTTGAAACCTCTTCGACCTTTACAACCTTGGCCACTATTGCGACTACTTCAACTACAGTCGAGAGCAGCTCTGGAACAACCTCAGCCCAGACAACATCCACAACAGCCAAAGTCGTTCCCACCAACCTCGTCACCAACCCCGAGTTCGACGACGGCCTCCAACCCTGGCAGGCAATCCCCTACCCCGACCAGGACCTCTCCCTCACCGACGACTCGTACAAGACCGAGAAAGCGGCACGCCTCCACTTCGAGTCCAAGTCCGGCAGCGCCTTCACAAACTACCTCTACCACCGCATCGACAAGTCCCTCCTCAAGGCAGGCTCCTATGCCCTCGAGGGTTTCGTCAAGGTTGATTCCCCCAGTGATGAAAGAGAAGGCTGCACCAGGGCTGTCGCCGCTTGTCTCGTTGGACCTATTGGCCTCACAGAGGCTATACTTAATGTTGGTGTGCTGCCAGCGACGGCTGCCGAGAGTCGGTGGGCAAAGATCTCGACGATTTGTGACGTCACGGATGAGAAGCTGGAGGAAATTGATGACTTTGGTGTCGCTATTGGGTTTGAGTGCATCAGCACAAACGCCTACCTTGATAGCGTCTCGTTCAAGGCGGTTGAGATTGAGATTGAGTAAGAATCTGGAATGGAAGGACCATATAGAGTGCCACTGTTACTTATGCACATTGAATATTTTCTGTATATATTTAATATCTAATAATATGTCGAGTATGCCCTCCATGTAATCAGTTGAAGTTCTCGCCTCGGCATATCGGCCAACTTCCGAACCAGCCTCTCGCCTCACTAAACCAAAGCTTTCACGATACATCGTTTGTCATGAGTAATTAGTGGCGAGGAAATTCAATTGAACTCAGCTGTGGACTTTCTATCTTCTTCTTCACCCTTTCATCTTCCTCTCCGACCTAGATTTTGCTATTGCAGGCTTATCCCGGCTTACACACATGCACCTAGAGAATGCCGTGTCGAAGCCTCGGATGCGCCGCCTCAGCAAGGGCTACTGCATCCTCTGCTGCAGCCTTTAACCCAGCACAGCCCAGGCATTTCACCCGCACAAATATCTTTACCTACAAATCAACACCAACAAATCATGGCTCCTTGAAAAGACAACGTCCTCTTGGCTCCCATCGGCCTCCCTCCTTCCTTTCCCGGGACTCGCCGTCCCGCGCTCGGAGCTTGACCCTCTTTCCCCGCCAGAACCCGCCGCCTCCGACTTCGCCTCCGTGCCCCGACGACCTAAACACCAACAACTCCATCGCGAACCGCGTCCAGGGCCTCGTTTTTGGCCATGTGACTTCTGCCGCTACCGCCGCCATGACGACTCCCCCACGCCCCCTCGCCGAGCGCATCCCCCCCGGCGCATGGGACTCGCACATGCACGTCCTCGACGTCGAAAACTACGCCCTCTCCCCCGCCGCCATGTACCGCCCCAACTCGCACTCCCTTGAAGACGCCCTCTCTTTTGAAGCTCAAGTCGGCATACGCAACATCGTCCTCGTCCAACCCTCCATCTACGGCCTCGACAACACATGCCTCATAGACACCCTGCGCGCTCTGGGCCCCGAGCGGGGGAGGGGCGTCGTCGCCTTCGACCCGCCCGCCATGACCCCCGACACCCTGCGCGAGTGGCATGACCTAGGCGTTAGGGCTGTGAGGTTGAACGTGCAATCCAACGAGCTCACCGTCGATGCGCAGGAGCTGGCTGATCAGCTGCACGAGTACGCTGATGTTGTGCGACCGTTTGGATGGGCTGTTCAGGTCTATGTTCCCATGCACATGATTACTCTTCTGGAGCCCATTGTCCCCTCCCTCAACATCCGTTTTTGTATAGACCATATTGGTTATCCATCTTTGAAAGGTCATGATAGCGCCGACCCATATGACCTGCCTGGATTCGCATCTCTAGCCCGTCTTCTCAAGAATGGCCACACATACGTTAAACTATCAGCTCCTTATCGCATGAGTTTGCGACCAGACCATAGCGACATTGAGCCCATCGCAAAGGAGGTCATTCGCCTAGGAGGCACCAGTCGTGTAGTATTTGCAACAGATTGGCCTCATACAAGGTACGAGGGGTTGGATATCAAGCCATGGATGGAGACAGTCCTCGACTGGTGCGGCGACGACGAGTACCTCATCCAGAGGCTATTTACTGGAAATGCAGAGGACTTGTGGGATGTTCCAAAATCATCATGACCATTTATGACGGAAAAGTGCTTTCTTTATAGCGTTTGGTCTGGGCGGAGTACACGTTATGGTGTCTTGTCGGTAGAGTCAAAGGTCGGCGCGGTACAATAGGATAGGAATGGCAACTGGTATTGATTCATTGTCATCTTGGGGCTTCATGCGCGAGGACAACGGTGCACATTGTTCCTCTGCCAATTTAATTTTTTCATTTTACTATTTTGCGTAGATCGTGTCAGTATTTCCAATCGTTCAGAGATCATCATGTGCATCTCCATTTTCGGCTTGTAAAGAGAAGAAGCATCTCGACCTTGCCGTCTCCTGCACTCTTGCAGGACATCCTTCTCTTGAATCATGATGGTAACAAATCATCATGATCTGTTAGGGGCCCCTCATGTGCCAGCATGAGTTCAACCTGTTCGGCTTCGGCCTCATGACACCATAGTCCTTCCAGTGATAGCCTGAAACGCACCTACGGCCGAGTGCAAGCAGTCACATGGAACCTCGGGAGAATGGCGCGGCGCTTTACCTTGGCCATCTGAAGCCGTCAGGTCATCCAGTTGGATCGCCAAGTGGGAGTGGACGAAGCTCCCAAGGCATAGCAAATGTCCAGCCGCTAAAGTCTGTACAACTTGGCCGATCGGCCATGAGTTGAGGCGATAGCCGGAACTGGTTGTATCGTTGACTCCTGGGCCGAAACCTCCAAAAGGCCCGAGTTCGTGTTGTAGAGTTTCATGAGCCACCCGTAGTGCGGAGGCTTGTTCTCTCCCGGCGCGGTCGACAAGCCGTGTCTGATCAATTACGGTTTTGGTCGAACGGCCTAAGGCAACCCCCTTCACTCAAACGTCTGTGGATTATTATCCGACTCGTGAATAGCACCCACCCGTACGCTCAAGGGCTCAAAAGTCGATAGCGCCTCAAAAACACCACGGTCCACGGCCATAGCGTTCGGGCTCAGGTTGTCGGCCCATGGAGTTTGAAAGAGTTGATCCGGCTCGTAGGGGGACTGTTGAGAGGACATTTCGAACGGAGGTTGATACATAGGTTCGGAAATTGGGACATCTGGTGTCATTGGTGGCATCTCTGCTGCCTGTTGAGGTTGCGGCTGTGGTTGCGGTGGTTGTTGTGGATTCAATCCCAGGCCCAGGCCGAGGGTTGCTACTTCTCTTGTAATGAGAGCAAGGGCACTTGAGATGACTATAGATGATTAGAGTTGAACACGGCGCGTACTCTGTTCCACTTACCTGGATTCACAAACTTAATCTGGTGCAGGGCGTGGATGCAAAAGTTGAGTTTGCGAACTGCTTGTTGATCTTCAGGGGTTGCCTGCACCTGCAGGAGGAAGATCGTCGCTGCGATGTAGACACTGTATGACAATGACAGCACGCAGTGGTTGATGGTAAAGGTTCGACAGAAAAGGTCAAAGATGGCAATGATTGCCGTTGCCGACGTGACGCATTCGACGAGATGGTTCTGCATCGGATGCGGGCCGTCATCTCCTGGGTGCACCTGCCAAGAGAGCATAGGTCTGAACAGGAGGATTCTGAACGTATGGTAGAGGGCACTTGATAATGGTTAGTCGGTGCTTAACAGATAGTTCAGAATGGATATACTCACTTCATAGTGACGATGTGTGATGGGGGGGCAAGAGCCGGCAAGGCCAAGGGGTCAATCTTGAGATGAGGCGGCAGCTGATCCCACCACATCTTCATGGCAGGATCTTGGCTTTGGAGACATTCTTGCATCTCCTGCTCTGTGTTCTGGCAGAGTGGATCATACATGTGAATGAGAATCTCGTTGAAGATGACAGATAGTCGGCAAGCACTCATGAAGCATGATGTTGAGTGAGCCGTGGCAGGCGGGTACTTCCAGTCTCCTCCGTGAGGTGAGTCGAAGGGGACCCAGAGTTCGTTCTCGGCGGAATCATCCACTAGAAATTGTCAGTGTGATGAAATGTCTAAAAGGTTTGAGCCAACTCACTGATGATTTGAGGGGGAGATACGAGTGAGTGTTGCATGGATGGCGAACGACCAAGGTAGAGGCTAATGATCTTATCCCAGAAATAGCAACTCCAGAATAGTCGGTGCCGAATCTCGACCTCCTCGTCAGACAAATGGACCGAGCCTGGATATCTCTGTCCATCAACGCAAATACCCAAGTGGTCGATGAGTCGGAAAGCAATGCCGCTGTAGATCCAGGCCTGAGTAGTGTTGCCATGGCCGCACTCTTGCGCACTAAGGAGAAGCAGCGTTTGAACTGTCGGAATTGTGCAGACGCCCCTGCTCAATTCGTCGAACAGCATGCTTCGAGCATGCTTTGCAAAAACAGCACCCCCATCGTAAGACTGATCCAGCAGCCGTTTGGTTGAGGGATCACTCTTCCCCCATCGGATCGAATGCGACAATATGGCATTGAGAAGTGTGTGCGAATAGTAAGGTCCCATCGATTGCATGTCACCTGTCTAGGGTTAGATCACGGCACGGAGGTGGTGAGTGGTCAAAGCATACGAGTGAAGGCAGGCCTGTAGATGAAGTTGAATAGGGGTTGAATCCAACACCAGTGGACATTCAAGAGATATTGAAAGGGTTCCTAGAAAAGTAAGCGACGGAACGAATAGATGAACTTGAAATGCATACGGGAATGTCGGAGAGGTTTTCCATTGCGCGCTGGTGCCATGCATTATTAACGAGGCGCTCTCTCCTATGCGCATCCGAATCAATTGAAGAGAGCGAGTCGGCCTTGTGCTTGTGCGGATCACTGGGAAGGTTGAAAAGACTGGTAGCACCATGATAAGTAATGCCGCCCTTGTCGTCGATCTTGAGGCCCATGAAGCTCCTAGTCATATGCTCGTCACTATAGCGGCCTTCGTGGCCGTTGAACATGCCCGGGCTAGAGTGATTAGACGCAGCAATAGAAGGAGGAGACTTGACGGCAGCCAGCTGATCCTCGAGCTCCTTGATACGCTCCTCAAGACGCTGAGTGTAAGACAGAGTCGGGTTTCTATTAAGGTGTGAGTGAAGGGTAAGAGAGCACGCGACCAAGGGGAAGTCCCACAGTTTGTAGATACAGTCATCGTTCCTAGCAGCACAGCGATTGCAGATGGGCTGCTCGCCACCGCACTTGACCTAAGAGAGGGTCAGCAGGGGCTTGAGCAGTTAGCAGCAGAGGGCATATCGACCTTGCGTCTACGGCAGGGCTCGCAAGAGAAGGCGCTCTTCTTGGTTGCCTTTACCGACGACATGATGGGCCACGGCGTCTGGCGAGAGGAATCGAATCCGAAAGTGTGCTAAGAAGTAGTGAATTCGGCAACAGGAGTCGTGAGAGGGAAGCCTTAGGTAATTCCCGTCCCCGCGTTAAACATCGAGGGCCCCACTCGGAGGAAAGCGGCCAGGCCAGGCGTCGCTCGGCTCCGTCAGGTTTTGGGTAAGATTGAGTGGTAGCTTAGTACATATGCGGATCCGAGAAGTAAGAGCTTGCTGTTGTAGGAGCGAGAATCAAGGATGAATGGGGCGGAATGCCGACTGAACGAGAATTGCTCGTCCTGTGACCGGCCAAGAACCTTGGGAGGCGACACTGCAGTCCAGTGCGTTGGGCCGGCTCAAGACGAGGACCGGGCTCGGCGAAGTGGGGTGTTTTTTCCAGGCTTCGGTGTAAGATGAGAGGGCTTGCTTGACCTTGGACCGGGAGCGAGCGTCGATTATCGCAATTATCGACTATCTCAAGGTGGGAACCGGCAAGACTGATCAAAAGAGGTTCAAGGATCATCTGCTGTCATCAGCTGGCGCAGGAACAGTTATTGGGACTGGACGTCTCAATGCCGTTAATGGTCACGTGCATCAGCCTGGGTGCCTCTTGGCTTGGTGCTTGTGGAAGGCGCGACAGCCCGAGTTCCAGGATGCATCCCGTCCGGCGCCAGGCATTCCCTGCCAGTTCTCGAGCGCCTCTACTTATTCCTCAAGATCGTGGCTCAGACGCAGTGATGGTACTCGCAATCTTCCCTCTATTAATGCCTGATGACGACGTTGGGTCTAGACTCTTTCTCTTCCCGGCTCCTCGCGGAAATAAGCGAGGTCAAAACGGCATCTTTCTTCACCATCATGACATGATTTCGTTGCCCTAACGGTACTTGGTCCGCCGAAAGCGCAGCTTGAATCTCGAATCAAACGCCACTGCAAGGATCTAGGAATATTAACAGCAGCCGTTTTTACATGTGCCAAGCTGCGTCTGCGAGAGCGAAGCCGGACCTCTGGCTGCTGCCCTGCCAGTTTTATTCCCGTACCGAGGGACTGGGCAGAAGCCGCAACTTGGCGCAACGACAGCATCTGATAAGCGGCTCGTCTCTGTTTCTGAACACAACCATCTTGATGTTTTTACCACGATCACAGACTTATAAAGGCTTGGAGCTAGTCTCATGAATCATGCTCGATCAATCTCATCTTCCTTTCCCTTCAGTGCGAGCAAGTTGATCTTCGGGCGAACGGATCATACCCACTTTCCACGGCTCAGAGAGGATCTCGTCCCCATCACCCGGCGCGGTGGATGCCGTAACTGCATGCGACTACTAAGAAATCATTTTCGTACAAATTATCGATGCGGGTCAGTGCCTGCCAAGAGTTCCTCATGACTGGGGGGATAGCACACTTGGGATCTTGATCATGACCTCGACCTGAGATGAGACCTGTTGCGCTGACCTGGTCATGATGCTGTCTGTACCTTGCCTTGGTCGTCCAACTATTGCAGAAACTAGTCTTTGCTTTTTCTACCTGCTCATTGACCCCGCGAACTTTTCAGCTTGGTACTATGGCATGCATATGCCGGAGTCATACCGTTTCTTTACACCATCATACCACGTTTGTCAGGCAACATCTGGGGGAAACGGTCACTTGACGCTCATGAAACAATACAAGGTCTCTCAGACACCGCTCTTCTACAGGGAAAAAGTCCATTCCCTGACGAATCGCGCTCTTTTGACTGGTGACGAATGCAATCATAGTACGTCGAAGCTCAGGTGTCCTGTTCCACCTGTAGAGCCCTGGGACGACCAGCCCTGACTCATGACTGATACCTGCTGTGTCATGACCAGCAGCTGAGAGGACTCTCCCACTGCATTGATCTGGCACCTTTGATTTACCGGGCGATTGGTAACACCCCCTTGACCGACTTTTCGGTTCTGATCTTGACATCTGACTTGTCCTGTCGCGGGACGTTGCTCCAGCTGTCAAAACGGCCTTCGTTTCTGGCTATTTCTTGAACGTGATTGATCGGTGCGAGGTCTACTGCGACAATTGACAGAGTACTGTTTGATTAGAAAGCCAATGTGAAAGCTGCCGTGCTTGTGGATTGTTCTCCTCATACCCTCGGGCGACAATTGCTATTTCTGATCCTCGCGATCTTGGCTTATAGATCCATGCTACCTCGATCGAGGTATCATGTTTCAAAGACAAACTCGAAACAAAGGCAACAGTTGGACGAGAATAAGGCGAGACTATTCGGATGCTCCCGTCTGATCGGCCCATTTGTTATTTGACCATTCTTATTTTTTTTACTATTATTTTCGAACAGGTCTTTCGCTGTGGTTGCACATTTGGTCGAGCTCATGATCATCTTGAAGCGCACTTTTGCTTAAATTTGCATTTAAATGCATTTCTATGAGACAGATATAAAATTCATGGCATTTTCAATATCCATTTTGCATCTCGACCGTTGAAGGATCTGAAACTACGAGACCCCATAGTCTTGGCAGAAAATCTCAAAGTCGGGCAGGGATATTCCATGTGGAGAGGCAGATCCCAACGTTGGGCTTTGATCGTCGCGTGTTTCACCTTTTCCACGTCGAGTTTACATCATATTACCCAGTAAACCGGTTTTTTCTTAATAGGAACGTACTTTCTTTTTTAAATAGGATAGAGTGCTCCCCCGCTTTGGACGACATCTGATAATCAACTTATATCGCACAACATGGCGACGACAAACTTGACGACGAGAGTACGCCTCTTTCGGGCTTGCACCTTTGGCTTGTGGGCGGTTCAGTTTGGGTTTTTGCTTGGCTCGATCGCTTATTGGGCCTTTTCTACTCCAGCTAGCAATAACCCCAAGGCAGTACCGTCGGCTAGCTTGATCATTCTTTTGCCTGGCCTCACTTTAGAAACCGTTCTCATTCTCAAGACAGCTTCTTACACGCCCTATCTATCTTCACACATGCAATGGTTCGACACATCCTTTGACGAATCGACCCTGGCGCTAGAGATCCTCCAACTGATCTGGTTGACTGCCACCATCGTCGTCTCTCGTGCAGTCTACATGGATGTGGTTGTCCAGGGAGGACCCATCCGAGACATCATCAGCTTCCTGCGCCAACACCCTCCCTTGACAGACTCAGCACTCGCCCCCCGTATCTGTCTTGTTTATTTTCTTTTGTCCTACGCGAGCTTGGTAATTTGGGTCTGGTGGACCGGCTTCGCTGCCATGGTGCGGCGTAGCATCCGTCCAGTCCAGGTACGCGAGAAAGAGGCTTCGGTGGCTTTGACGAGCTCCCCGGCCCCGGACGACAAGGACAATCACGGAAACTAAGGTATCATTTGGCATTTTTGTCGCAAAAGCAAATGGCTTTCTTTTTTGTTTGCAAAGGAAAAATTCCTGTATCCCTCCTCCCCTTTTGAACGAATAATTAATTGATTTCATTTCAATCGTAGACCCATACCATACCCTTCCTCGTGTGCTCCGGAACCTCCGATGCTATCCAATATTTTCCTCCACTCTTTGTCTTCCCCGATTCCCCGAGATGTTGTTGTTGTCGTGTCACAGACACTGACGAGTGCAAGTGCAAATGCAAATGGTCATTGGCTCAACAAATTGATCCAGCCTTTGAGTTGTACCAGTTTAACCGTTACGCGGGTTCCATAATCTCTCTCTTGTGCATCCTCGCCATCTCTTGCACGGTTGCATGAGATGCTGAGCATGTGATCCAAGCAGCTGCCAGCCATCTAGGGAGCGACGGGGCTCATCTGGCCGTCAATCATACTGTCGTTCCTCTGGTGAGGGCTCGCGTCCTTGGGCGGGATGGTGTCGACCTGGGACTGGGGCATGGCGGCCTTCTCATGGGCGTGGCTGTGGAAGCCGAGATGGTGATGACGACCCTTCTCGACGTCATCATCGTCCTGGCCTGGGTTGGCAGTATGGTATTCGAGCCACTTGAAGGTCTTGTAGCATCCAAAAGCCAGGAGAGTACCCATGAAGGGTCCGACCCAGTAGATCCAGTGGTAGCCGACAAACCCGGTGACGACGGCAGGACCAAACGAACGGGCAGGGTTGATCGAGGTGCCGGTCCAGTTGGTGCCGCAGATGTGTGAGATGAAGACGGAGATACCAATGCCAATTGGGGCCAGGTAGGTGCTGCGGTGCTTCTCAACAGCGAGGAAGTACACAGTCAGCACCAGCTGAGCAGTGAGAAACATCTCCATAAAGACACCCTGGGCCTTGCTGGTGCCATTTCCGAGTGCGTTGGCAACGAGAAGCGGGCCTGGGGTCAGGCCATCAGTAACGGCCGCAGCTGCAATAGCGGCGACGAGCTGTGTGGGGACGATGAGAAGGCCATTGAGTGGCTTAACAGCACCGACGAGCATCAAACCAAGAGTCACCTAAAAGGTCAAAAAGTTTAGCATGTAAGTCCTCGGATCCGCACAACAATTGCTGCTGCTGCTCTTCTGGCCTGACTTACAGCAGGGTTAAACATTCCACCGCTGACGCGGTAAAAGATCCAGACGTTGACGGCGAGTGCCGTTCCAAAGGATGCGGCAATGTACATGAGACTGAAGGGCTCCAGAGGTGCACTGGGGTCTGAAGGGTTGTTGGTGACGAGGGCAGTCTGCGCTCCAATGAAGGAGAGGAGAAGAAACATGAATGTTCCGCAAAACTCTCCTAGGACGATGACGACTGAGTTTCTGGTGGTGGAAGGGATAACATGGCCTTGCTCGCCTGGTTGAACTGGTCCATCATGCTCCGTGGAGTAGTTGGACCGGAAAGATGCAAGTCGGGCCATTGCGGCTGATGAAGGGGGAGTTGTTGAGTTGTGTAAAGGCTATTGGGGTGAAGTGATGAGTGAGGAAGTGCTGCTTGATGAGCTTGTCGAGGGAGGTAATCATGATGGCGCCTCGGAGGTTATTATATATCTCGAGGAAAAGAAAAGGGTAGCCACACAATCTCAGCTCATGGGGGCCATCATTCCTCCATCAGGACAACCTTGAGCCTACCTGTCAGCCAAGAAGCCATTAGTCCCTGATACACCGTCGAGGGGTGGGCAGTGACACGGCTACTGCCACGATGGGTCCCGAGCCTGACTCCCTCCCACAGTGGTGTCACGACTGAGCTGCAAGTCCAATCCTTCCCTCTCTCTGTCTTTCTTGCAGGACCGCATTCTGACAAGGTTCCTGGGTGTTCTCCAAGAGACTTAACTCCATTGCTGTGCTCTGCCGGAGTCTGCGTGCCCGACTGAGCTGAAGGTGCTCCGAGAAGACCCCGCGATGCTTTATCCCAAGACCGGTTTAAGCGAGGCCCATATTCAGCTCGGGGATGCCTTTTGACACTGTTTAGGAATACGGGACCCTGATTGACTTTTTTTTTCTTTCATGCTAAAAGAGGCGTCCTCCGATACGCCCTCGGGAGAGGGACACACTATGCCCTCTTGGCTCTTCAGCCCGTGACGAAGCATAATTCATCTAAGACTGTGGTCCCCCATGTGGCAAAGCGCCAGCCCGTGACATGGATGGATTGCTTTTTGAAAAGAGAGAGAGACAGACAATGTGTGGAGAGACAGAGGGGACCTGTTGTTTACCCCCCAGTCTCTGCATATGAGCTTGATGAATCGAGACCACGCCATGGTCTCTGGCAAAAGAATGCATGCAAGTTGCTCTTGTTCAACCCCCCTGCTGCGGGACCCCGACGGTTGGAATGTCTCGGAGCCGGGGGGTGTGCGCGTTAGCATAACGGAAGGTTTTTTTTTACTCGGTTCGAACGATCGACGGTCCCCGCATGTGCATGAGAAAAGTGATGGCCCATATCAAATGGGCGAACCGGGCTTGCATGAGATGAATGGCTTACCTGCCGCCCATTCGTGCTATTGCCGGAAGCTAGTCTTGTCTCAGTCCGAGAGTGTCAACGGGGGACCCGGCAGCAGCACCACCCCCAGAGCTATCCTACCCTACTGATTTGCCCACCCATCATCTCGTTCTCCTGTGGCAGTTTGCTTCTGTTAGCCCCGTTGCTCATCGCTGAGTGTTTACGCAGATGGGTGTCATGGAGAGTTGCGGGACCTTTCCCACCAAGTCAGCTGATGACGACAAAGGCTTTGGAGCTGTTTGACTCGCGGATTCGGGCAGATACTGCGTCATTGTCGACGGTGCCCGTGTTATCTCAGCTCTGATGGTTTTGAAGTAGCGGAATACCGGGAGGGAAGAGAGCACAAAGAGGGAACCCGAAAGAAACCCTAGAAAAGCCCGCTTCCAAAAATGGGATCCATGCCCGGTCAACAATGTGGACTCGACCACAAAGATCCAAGTTTCTTTTCACAATCTGCTCCCATCAAACGGACAACGTTCTTGCGTCGGGGTTGGGATGTGCGCGCGCGCGTGTCTGGTAGGTTTGAGTTGCGCCAAACAGCGTGATACCACCCCTTGACCCTTGCCTTGTGCAAGATCGTTGATGAGGAGACTATCATTGGGAGGAGTGGAGGGGAGGGGGTGTGATGGTGTGTGTCTGTCTTTGGTGATGGGAAGGAAAAAAAAAAAAGGGACGAGGGCGGGGATACGGGTTGTTGTTGCGAACAAGCGCCCTCCAAAACGCAGATCCGGCACATACGTAGCAGAGCGTCTAACCCCTTCCCCTGTAAGTCACGATTTTCTCTTGAGTCTTCCCGAGGGTCTCTCTCGCGTGAGCATAACAGGGATCCCCCATCTTCGCGAGCGCGGGAGCGGGGAGAAAGAAAGATTCGGTGTCGTGCAGTAAGAAAAAAGGGAGGAGAAGTGACCTGGTCCCCGGTGAACATCTGCGACTACAAGGATAGCATCACCAACATACCCGTGATATTTGCGTAAGCGAGCCTGATTTTTTGCTGCGCTGTCTCTACCTATTGAAGATTTTTTTTTTTTATGTCTTCGTCATTGCTGGGATAATCCGTCAATTGACGTGCCCGACTTACACGGCACGGTAAAGTTATTGTGCCGCGGTACAGATTGCCTTTCGTCTCCTCGTGGGAAAATAACAACACGGCATAAAGGAATAAAAAAAGTAAATTTAGTGGCTTCGTCTGGTGTCACATACCCGAAATGTCGAAATCGGCATGTCTCAGTGCTGTCAACTCGGATGGGATTCTACTCCGTACACTGAGGCGGGCTGAAGAGTGATGACCTGGTCTCAATAGTTCTCTCCTCATCACAGATAGTCTCTATGCTGGCATATGCCGGCACGCCCGATTATTGAGGCGAGACCGTTTTGTATCTTTACTGCGGGGAATCAAGTCATGGTTTCCAATCAACTCGGCGCAGAAACGGGCATAGATTGAGGGTTGGACCGCAGCTGTCCTGGAACATGGCGCTTCTGGGTCCATCCAATTCGCTGGCCTCACAGGGGACCAAGTCAGCAGATACCAATATTTCTATTCGATAGAACAGAAACAAGGCTTTGAGTAGAAAAGCCATCTTCTTCCACTCAGCCTGGGCGTATCGTTCTCGCATACGGGCTGGCGTGGTTGTGACCAACGAGGAATCGACGTCGACGCCTGAAACGCGGCTTTTGCTTGCGTGGACTGGCGGGCATGCAGCTTCAACATGTTGAGAGGGCACAGCGTTCTGCGAGTAGTCCAAAGTAGAAGATACGCATTCCAGCCTGACGAGTGAGGGGGTGTCCCTCTTCTGTCGAGGATGTGTCGAGTTGAGAGAAGTTGAGGAAATTCCTTTGAGGGTTATGATCGACAGTCATGGGGATATATACAGCGTGATGGGTTATCTACCGGCAGCGGGGCCAAGGATTCACTCTTAGAATATCGGGCCACAAAACCTCTCACAAAAACCGGGCAAAGGAACAAAGCTTGGACCGGTCTGAGGTCGAAGGAGCGACAAAGAGCGGGTAGGCCCGTCTGCATCTCGGGTGTGGAGATCTACAATGCGGGAGCGTGGCATCGAGGGATTCCTGTTTCGACTATGGAGCCTATCACGACAGTCTTCTAGGTCATGGATTAGACGCGGCTCTGCCCAGTTTCTTTGCTGTTGGTTCAGGTTTCTTTCTGTCCTCCCTACCTTAAATCGTTCGGATGAAACCTGGCCCTTCTGTGCATACGCTTTCTTTTTCTTCGAGAAGAATGAACCCCGGATCCCAGCCTTGTCTTCTGCTGTCCGACAAACCTATGCCAACTCGTTCTGCAAGGACTCTTTGGCGGCCCACCGCTCAATGTTCTCAACCTGCTGCTCATACCAAGACCCCAACGTCCCCTCCTCTACGTATCCCATGTGAGGAGTCAGAAGCACCTGGCTCGATCCTTCACGGCCCCAGGTCTTGCTCCGCCACTCGCTATCGGCCGGGAGAGGCTCGGGGTCGAAGACGTCGAGCGCGGCGCCTCGGATCCCCCCTGCCTTGAGGTGGTCGAGGAGGTCTCGTTCCACGACGAGGGGGCCCCGCGATGTGTTGACGAAAAATGACGATCTCTTCATCTTGGCCAAGTCCTGCGAGGTTATCATGCCTCGTGACCTGTCAGAGAGCACGACATGAAGGGAGATGACATCTGCGCTGCTAAACAGCTCGTCTCGACTGACTGCCCTGAAGGTCTTGACACCGTCCGAGTCTTCCACAGCAAGTCCGGCCTCCCTGGCCTTCTCATCTGCCGCGTCCTGGGTGAGGTTGGTGCTCCACGCGATAACCTTCATACCGAACGCGATCGTCATGATCCTCGCGACGTTGGCCCCCAACCGGCCGAGTCCGACGACGCCCAACGTCTTTCCCGAGAGCCCAGTTGCGAAACCCGTCTGCCAGGCTCCGTCCTTGACGGCGGCGTCATCCCGGGCGACGCCTCGAGCGAGGGCAAGGATCAGGGTGACGCAGTGCTGCGTGGTGCTGTCGGTCCCAACCGTCTTGGTGTCTGCTCGGAGTTTATCCACCGTGCCAGCAACTGGGATCCCACGTTCTTTGAACGCCGCCAGGTCCAGGGATCGGTTGCGCAAGCCTGTTGAGAGCAGGAGCTTGAGTGCTGGCAGGCGGGCGATCAACTCGGCGGGGAAGGGCGTGCGCTCTCGCATGCAACCTACAGAGTGTTATTCAGCCACCTGTTCTTGGACGCGCGCACGGAAGGTGAAGACGGCCGCATACAGATCACGTCGAATGGCTGGAGTCTCTCAACCAGCGCATCCTTGCCCGACTGCGAGTTGTCCGAGTGGTGGTAGGGCAGCAGCGTGTCCTTGATGGAGACGACGTCGTACTTGACCGAGTCCAACTTTTCAAAGTAGGGGTCTGCAAGACCTTGGTAGTCGTCCAGGATGGCCACTTTAATCGGAGCCATTGTGAGTGAGTGAAATATCTTTGTTGGTGATGATGATGGGGTTGCTCCGATGCAGGAGGTGTGTGGGATAAAGAGTTATCCAGGCACAGTGGGTAGTAGGCAAGCACTGTGTAGACAGTCACTCAACGACGGGATGCTATCTTGGGAACAAAGATGGAGACTTCGGTTTATAGAAATTCAATTAGCATCTCATTCTTTTGTATCGAAGTCTTCAGGTTGATTACCAATCTCATGAGGGGACAATTCGTCGAGTCACTAGCCGATGTGGATAGCCGACTTGAGGCCGGATAGTATTTCGGCATAAGAGACTCACCACATAGTAGCACGTAATAGACTCAACTTGGAACTATTAGGTACAATCTTCCCTCACTCATAAACTTGATACCAACAATTGTAAAAGACAATGTTTTCGTCTCATTATCCAACAGATAGAAATACACACTTTCACATCTTGCTCGGCATCCTCATGGCACCATCCAACCGTATCACGACGCCATTCAACATGACGTTCTCAATGGCCTGCCGGGCCAGCTGCGCAAACTCGGCCGGTTGACCCGCCCTCCTAGGAAACTCCATTGCGCCCTCCAAACTCTTCCTCACCTTCTCGGGCATCACGCTGGTCATGCGGCTCTCGAACAGACTCGGCGCGATGGTCACAACCCGGACTCCGAAGCGGGCCAGGTCCCGAGCCATTGGCAGCGTCATGGCCGTTACGGCGCCCTTGCTCGCAGAGTAAGAAACCTGGCCCTTCTGGCCGTCAAACGCCGCCGAGGATGCGACCATGATGACGACGCCGCGCTCTTCGTCAGATCCTTCAGGCTCCACCTTTGCGATATGCTCCAGAGTCTGGCGCACCAGGTCGATTGTTCCTCGAAGGTTTACATTGAGCACAAAGTCAAAGTCGTCTAGGCTGAACGCATTGCCCTTGCGGTCAAGAATCTAGAAAACGATCAGCTTGATCAGCCATGTTCGCAGTTCTTGAAAAAAAAAAAAAGAAGATCTTTACCGTGGCAGGAGTTGAAACACCAGCTGCAGGAATCACGCCTCCCAGAGGCTTCCCCATCTCCTTGGCCCACTTGACGGCGCCTTGCACGGCGCTTGCGATGCTCTCTGTTTCGAGCACGTTACACACAAAGAACTTTGCCGAAGAGGAGAGCTTCTTCTCCAATTCCTCTCCGCTCTCCTCGTTCATGTCGAAAATGGCCGCGTTGCCGCCATTCTTGCAGATTTCCTCCACACAAGCCTGACCGAGGCCGGATGCTCTACAAGCATGTCAGCAACATGTGAAGGGGCTGATGTGAGTACTTACCCTCCGGAGACAATAAATGTGCGGCCCTGGATCTTCATGGTAAGTGACCCGAGTATCAGTAGCTATGAGAAAACGAGAACAAGAACGATGTTGGTTGATGATGATCGAGGGATGTAATGTTGGTTTGACAGTCCGGGCGGAACGTGGGGAATCTGGGGGTGGCTGGCCGAGCGTGCCTCGGCATCTGGAGTCATCCCTGCAAGCGGCTTTTCAGAAGCAACGACATTTGATCGCACTAATAATGATAAGATGAATACTAGATAATATGTATGATATTAGATACTCCTATACTTATTTCCATTTTTTCTTGGATGTAGAAGAAGTGCAAGATCCCATATCTCGATAGTTTGTGTGACGTCACGGCCATGCAAGTTCATGCTCCGGAACCACTCTTGTCCGGTGTAAGTCACCAGCGACATACCCCAAGGGGATTCGCAACCTTGTCAATGTTTTATACCTACCTGTCATAGACAATGCCCGCCCTAGAGAACGTTCAAGTAAGAATAAGATAGAGCCCATAATTTATATCAGAACATAGGTTGATAAGCTCTGCAAGATGGGAATGACCTCTTCCTTGTACATAGGTACCTACCCTTGAGCGCGCCAGAAGGAAGAGAAATGAGAAGGCTGCCAGTGAACTATAAGTCAGATCTAATAGCATATAATTCTAGAGATATTTAATTACTAATCGGGTGTAATTTATTAAGGTTCCCTTTATTTGTAGTATTATGTGGTTTCCACTCCTCATTGTGCCCAGTTATGCAGAGCATATGAAGAGCACAACGTCATTCATGAGCTAGGCTGGCGGACAACTGAAATCTAAGCATGACTCTAGGCTTCAATTTTTACATTTGTAGTTGAACTGAGGTTTCGAATTCGCTATGATGGTGTATCGCAACTTGCGGCAAGCAAGTCTGCGCCATATTCCCCAGAGAGTTCATACATTACCCTACTGTAGCCTGCCAAAAATCACAACCAGGTGAGTGTACACCAAGAGGGCTCTACTGGGAGGGCCCTACTCGCAAGATAACGACTTGGAGGTGAAACAGAACGAAAGTGAATTCATTAACTCTGGGTCTCCAAGCTGTTTCTCAATTTGCACCGCTCGCTTGTGCTCGTTGATGACAACATCTGCCTTAGTTAGGCAGCATCTTAGACGCAGAACCCAGGTTTTTGCTACAAGATAAAGCAACCTCGTTGCCTGATATCGGATTTTAATTATTCTGCATGTTTTCATGTTCATTTGGTATGCTCCTCTTGTCTTCCGTATTTATTCGCCAATGCTCCTGTCTTCTCACTTTTGCATAACCGACTAGAAGCTGAGAGCCGCTGGGTCGTTGCTTGGTGCGCTTGAGAGGATATTACAAAAATAACGCCCCAGATCGATCGACGGCTGTCGGTTGAATCATGCCTCGAGAGGCACCTGATGCCGTTTGCAGGATGTCTGATCTCTCATCATTGGCGCGAAAAGGCAAGTAGCAAGGCAGCGACCAGCAACACTCCATTGGAGCGCCCAGTCAAGATGTTGCCAATCTCCTACTAAACGCCCTCTCCTGCTTCTCAAGGTCACCCATCTATGGGGGGTGCAGTACTGATAAGTGTCACCTGCTGAGGAAATGATGTGCAGAGAGACGGGATAATGAACCTTATAGGAACGGCAAGAAGTTCCATGAATTCGGGCCAAGCAGTGTCAAGCTTTTTCATGAAAAGCTTCAACAAAAGCCAAAATGTCAATCCGGTTCCTGCATGACAACTCCCAAAGTTTCTCCAACTGCGCCTCAGAAATGCATTTTGAGTTTCGTGTAAGTGATGATAACAGTTGGTTCACCTTTTCGGTGAAGTTGAGGATATTCGGAACTCGCTATGCGATACGCGTATTGTGGTGTTATCTCAAATCTCCCCACTCAGCGTCACCTGCGCTGAAGCGAGCAATGACGCTATCTACAGGGGCTTGCTGTAGGCGACCCACCCCCTGTTCACGGGCAGGCCGCCAACGACGGTCAACACCCATGGATTTTCCAGGGTTCGCATTGTCGTCGGGTCTTTGGTTTCAACAACCACACACCAGAAAAGACGAGGCCGCCTGTCCCGTTCTTTGCCTCCTACATCTAGCCGCTAAATCGACCACCTATTAATCCTTAATCGACTCTGCTCTACAGAGACCAACTCGTTCATCCCCCGCGACCGGGCCGAGACTACATGCGACATCGTTCGACCGCCTGAAACCTATCCGCCATTGAAATCTGCCATCTCGTCATCCGTCCAGCGCAGCGCCGCCGCAATGACCAGGCCTCGCCGGCACTCCGGCGCGAGCGAGGAAAGCTCGGGGACCGCCCGGGAGCAGGTAGGCGAGCCGGAGAGTTAACAGAGTATGCGGCACGGCTGACCATGATTAAAGGAGCTGGGGAGCATGTATGATTATTTGGCCAAGATCATATTGCTTGGGCCCAGTGGAACGGGAAAGTACGTCATCCTCAAAGATAACGGTGAACGAGGCAGCCATCGCAGATATAGCGACTGACGGTACGCCGTGTGTGTGAAACTTTGGCTGATCAGTTGCGCGGATTTACAGATCATGTTTATTACATCGCTTCGTCAAGAATGAGTGGAGGGTCCTTTCGTCGCAAACTATCGGTGTCGAGTTTGCGACCAAGATCATCAAAGTCGGTACCGGATCGCGGCGAAAACGAATCAAGCTTCAGGTGCGCTCATCGCAACCACGATTACACCACTCGACACAAAAGACTGACTGGATCATAGCTTTGGGATACCGCCGGCACCGAACGATTCCGATCCGTTTCTCGCTCATACTATCGAGGCGCCGCGGGCGCTATCCTCGTCTACGACTTGACCTCGCATGCTTCGTTCCGCGGCCTACAACCCTTTATCAACGATGCCCGAGCCCTCGCGTCCCCGAACCTCAGCGTCCTGCTTGTGGGAAACAAGCTCGATCTCACCGATCAACTTATCGATACTAGTCTTCCCCCACCTACACCGACAAGTTTCACCTCGAACTCGACTATAACCCCCGGCGCTGGTGGGAGCTCCTATACGAGCACAGCTGCTGGTAGAGATCGTGGTGCATCCATCAGCGCCGGCACTCAGCAAAGAGCTACTGTTGCCCCCGAGGGCAGGGAGGTTACACGGGCTGAGGCTAGTCGATGGGCTAGCACAGCAGGAATATCAGTGGTGACGGAAGCGAGCGCCTTCAACGGCGAGGGCGTCGACGAGATCTTTGGCAGATTGGCGAGGATGATCCTGACAAAGATCGAACTTGGAGAGATCGACCCCGACGACCCAGCCAGCGGGATCCAATACGGCGACAGTGGTGGCTGGAATACTGCCAGTGACGGAGGCAGCATTAAGAGCTCCATGACGGGAGCCACAGTGGACGACGGCCTTAGTGGGCTCAGGAGGAGACGCAAGGGTAAGGGCCGGACGCAGAACTGGGGCCTGAGAGAGTGGGAGGAGGTGTTTACGCTGAGCAACCGGCGTAGAGGCGGCGGCTGCTGTTGATGAATGGGTTTCTTCTTCCTTTCCTGCTTGGAGCTCATGGGTTCATGGATACGTCACTTTTGAAACTGGGTTGCATGATTAGGCCGGCAGTGTTTGGGAATATTGTTATTTTTCTTGTGTGTCAAAGCATTCGTTCGTTTGGCGTCGGGTATAGACCGAGCAAGCAGCTTTTCTGCCGAGGGTGTTTGAGTTCAAGTTTGATCCGAGGCTTCATCGGCCTGGTTGTTGATGAGGTACTTGGAGGGTCTAATCCGATACATAGGTAGCTACGATAATCACGTTGAAATCATGGGGTTTCTGGGTCTTTGGCTGATTTGAGAGGTATCCTGATGTTGCAAGGGGAAGTCTTGTGCTTGCGTGGGCTCCAGGCACGGGGAGGTCAAACTTCTCTGTCGAACCATGTTGTGCTTCTTTGAAAGCATGCCGTTGACTCACTTTTACCTGGCCGAGTTCATGGCATAGCCACTGTTGGGAAACCTAAACGCTGTCGGGTACATAACGGTCAATATCTGGCGGCCGAGATGCCCTCATCTCTCTCACCAAACAACAAACAACACTTCAACAGGAAGCCCATCAGTTAACCAAGACCACTTCAAATTACCGAACAAACACTTCACCACCAGTTAACTCTTTCAACTCTTACCATCTCCAACAATGAACACAACAGAAGTTACTATAATGACAATTACTACGACAACAACGACTCCCCCAGCTCCCCCAAGCCCAGAGGAACAGAGGGGATACTACTACGGCCTGCTTTCTTGGCCAAGACTCGTCGCCCGGTCCAGCACAACCCCTTGGGTACGCAAACGCGATGGAGAATACACTCTTCGCAAGTCACTTGGGCTTGTCGGAAGAAATCACCCAATTATTGATCAATGGATCGACTATACCGGCCCTCTCCGGCAGAACATCAACGCAATCCTCAGAGGCATCGACTGGACGGACCTCGATTTACTCCGTATCGGATACGATAGATCCTACTGGACAAGAGAGGAGTTTGAGCAGCCTGTTACGCTCATGATCACAGTCAGGAAGGATTCAACGTCTTGGGTGCATGCATATGCGGTTGCCATGGCGTGCCGCGCTGTTATTGTGGAGTGTGGTATATATGATGTCCATGTCGAGGTAAGGCAGCCTTGGGATGCTAGATGTGTCTGATTGACAAAGCTATGGATGGATTGCCCCAACTAGGCATACAGTTTACAAAGATCTCTGGATGCCCACCATGGAAGACTTGAAGCTGCTTGATTAGTATGATACCAAATAGCAATACGCATAAGTAAACAACTAATAAATTTTTAAACGACTTTTCAAGTTCAAACTTGACTTGTTTCTACTAAATCATCATTGATCTCCATCATAGATGTGGTTTGGTTGTTTGGCGGGTACCGGAGTGCATGTGGCGCAAGTAAAACGGCTCGTGATGTAATGAATACCAGTTGCAGTCTGAATTGTAGTACACAATGCATATTTCAACTCTATTTAGCCGCTCGATTGCAGACGCCCAGGCACATGGCCAAAGCCAAGCGAAATAACTAACCACAGTGGGCAGAGTTTATGGAGCTTGCTGGGCTTGACGGGACGTCGGATACACGGCGCGGCGATGCGGGAGAGCTCCATATATGCATCATCGGAGGGCAAGGATTCCAGCTGTAGCAAGCAATTGAGATGGAGGAATGTCGGCCAGCCAAGAGGCCCATTGACAGGTTGTATCAGCCACTGAGGGGATTCATTGGATGTCTTTTTAGTTGATGTCTTACGAGGATTGACTGTCACGTTTTGAACAACCCCTCATCCTTCCTTCCTTCGTCGCACCTGCCGGCTAAAACGCAAGACGGGAGGCATCGCATCGATCATCAGATCACGAGTTGGATCATCGTGTTCTAACTTGAACCTTTAATAGCTCACCTCAACTCTCCATCCGCTCACCTTTGTTTCTTTTACTTCTCACCTCCTACGTATCTCTTCTCTCCCCTCCGTGATACAATCGCTCCATCATGGGTCCCCGCACAGTTACCCCAATTGACCAGAACTGGCACTTCAAGCAGGCGAAGGACGACGATGCCTCTTATTTATCCGTCGCCCAGTTCCCAACAAACGTCCATCTAGACCTTCTTCACCACGGCAAGATCCCTGATCCTTTCATCGGCAAGAATGAGAATGAGGTTCAATGGATTGGCGAGACCGACTGGGTCTACAAGACCACCTTTGCCAGCCCCAAAGTCGCCGATGGCGCAAAGGCAGTTCTGGTCTTTGACGGTCTCGACACGTTTGCTACCGTGAAGCTGAACGGCACCAAGATTCTGGAAACAGACAACATGTTTACTTCGGATCGTGTAGATGTCACCGAGATCCTCAAGAGTGATGGCGAGAACGAGCTTGTTATCACGTTTGGCAGCGCCTACCTAAAAGGTTGGGACTTGGTGGATGAGCATCCGGAGCACAAGTACCGTTGCTGGAATGGCGACTTTTCAAGACTGCCTGTTCGAAAAGCTCAATACCACTGGGTAAGTTGCAAAAAGCTCAAAATGCTTCGCGTTCTCTAACGGAAGATATTAGGGCTGGGATTGGGGCCCTGCCTTGCTCACCTGTGGTCCATGGAAGCCCATTAATCTGGAAGTTTACGAGTCACGCATCTATGACTTGCACGCTCAGGTCGAAGTTGAGGAATCGCTCAAGACTGCCACAGTTGTTGTCAACGCAGACGTTGAGGGGAAGGCATCACAGGCTCAATTAGTTGTGACCCTCGATGGAAAGGAGGTTGCGTCAACAACCACAGATGTCAAGGACTCGAAGGTGTCGACGACTTTCCATATCCAAGATCCCGCCCTCTGGTATCCCATCAGATATGGAAAGCAGCCCCTATACACTATTCAGGCTACGCTGCTTGAAAATGAGACCAAGGTTGACACTACCGACAAGAAAATCGGTCTTCGCAAAGTTGAGCTCGTCCAACACGAACTTGAAGGCCAGCCTGGCACCAGCTTCTTTTTCCGAGTCAACAACATTCCCGTCTTTTGCGGTGGAAGCAACTGGATCCCCGCTGACAACTTCCTCCCTCGCATTTCCAAGAAGAGATACTATGACTGGGTCAACCTTGTGGCAGAGAGCAACCAGTTCATGATCCGCGTCTGGGGTGGAGGCATCTTCGAGTCAGACTTCTTTTATGATGCCTGCGATGAAGCCGGCATTCTAGTCTGGCAGGACTTTCTGTTTGGATGCGGAAACTACCCCTGCTGGTCTGAGCTGCGCAAGTCGATTGACCGTGAAGCCCGAGAGAACATCAAGCGGCTCCGCCATCATCCTTCCATTGTCATCTGGGCTGGCAACAACGAGGATTATCAAATTGCAGAGTCAGAGAAGCTCACATACGACCCTAAAGACAAGGATCCCGAGAGCTGGCTAAAGACCGACTTCCCGGCTCGTTATATCTACGAAAAGATTCTCCCTGAGGCCTGCAGCGAGGTTAATCCTGGTTCCATCTATCACTTTGGTAGCCCTTATGGTGGACATGACACTACTGATCCTACCGTTGGAGATATCCACCAATGGAATATCTGGCATGGCGCTCAAAGACGATATCAGGATTTTGACAAGCTCGTTGGTCGCTTTGTGTCCGAGTTTGGCATGGAAGCTTTCCCAAACATCAAGACTATCGACTCATACCTGCCCAAGGGCAAAGACGACCCTGAGAGGTTCTACAGCTCGTCCACTATTGACTTTCACAACAAAGCCGACGGTCAAATTCGCCGCCTAGTCATTTACCTGGCTGAGAACTTCCGCTATACCCAGGAGCCTCTTGAGTACTACGTCTACTGCACTCAGCTAATGCAAGCAGAGTGTCTCGCATCAGCATATCGACTCTGGAAGCGTCAGTGGCAAGGCCCCAACAAGGAGTACTGCAGTGGCGCCCTGGTCTGGCAAATCAATGACTGCTGGCCTGTTACATCGTGGAGTATTTGTGACTATTATCTGCGACCAAAGCACGCGTACTACACCATCAAGCGCGAGATGGCCCCAGTGACGATCGGCATGACCCGTACTGAGCACCAACACCCCAGGAGCAAGCACACGCGGGTTGATATTGATACCAAGATCCAAGTTGAGATCTGGGGCAGCAACCTTGAGCTTGAAGACGTGACAGCAGACTGCGTCGTCAAGGCCTGGGATATTGAGACTGGGAAGGAGACTTATTCCAAGACGGTGTCGCCATCATTTATCCTCCCAAGCAACCGCTCAACCGAGATTGCAACTCTGGAGGTACCAGTTGAAACACCCAACGCTGGCCTCGAAGCCCGCACTGTTGTCGCTTCGTACCTCTACCAGGATGGCAAGCAAATCGCACGCTATGTGAACTGGCCAGAGCCACACAAGTATTCGCCTCTTCAGAAGCCCAAGAACCTCCGAGTTGAGCTCGTCGACGGAGCCAGCGCCGTAGAGGTCAGTGCCGAGGTGCCAGTCAAGGGACTTGCACTGGAGTGTGAGGATGATGGAGTCCGGTTTGCCGACAACTTGGTGGATCTTGTCCCTGGCGAGATTGTACGGATCGGAGTAAAGGGGGCAGTGGAGGCGACTGCCATCACAACGCAGTATTTGGGGCTGCACTACTGATGCTTGGTCTAATGCGATAACTACCTAGTCTATGGGACCATGAGTCACAAAATTGACTGCGATTGAGTTAAACATGTTATGTTGAAGAATATGTCTGATCTCACTGTGCTCTCCTGCTTAGTGGCATCGCGCTTGGTAGGAGACCAGATTCGGGAGAACTGGTCTATGCACTAATTTCTTATTCAAGAGTACTGTGCTTTCAGACTAACCAAGTAAAACTGCTAGGTCTTGAGAATAGCAGAACTGGATGCAAAAGGCCTAGTGCCTGGCTGGGGACAGAAAGGTACAAAACTTGCCGAGTCTCGAGATAGGGGTACGCTGTACAATCTTGGGACAATCCAGCGACAGAAAGAACCAATTAAGAGTCTCATGTCTATGAGTTCGTTCACATCACCACATCACCATGAGATAGTAGGATACGACCTTCAAATTGGTACTATTCGGTGGTAATCTCACCATCAAGTCCAAACACTCATGACACCAACATGTCCCGCTATTCACAAACACCACAACGCTGCAAATGCCCCTTAAGCCTCTGGAAGTTCATCACGGGTAATAACCCAGAGCTTCTTGGAAAACGGCCCCTTGGAAGTCCAAGTGATGTGCATCCCAGAAGTCAAACCGATCGCATCTCCCGCCTTGAAGCTATGCTTGGCACCGGTCGCCGTCTCGACAACATCCACTTCTCCCTCCAGGAGCAAGATGGTCTCATCACCAAGAACACCAGTATATGGGGTCTTGAGCGTGCCGTCCTCGCTGACGTCGGATCCTGCGATGCCCTTGCCCGAGCGCCAGACACCGCTCAGCATGGTGCTAGTAGAACCACCGGTCTTGATAAAGTACAGTTCTCCAGCCACGAGGTCTCCCTCCTTGGGCTCCTTGAAGTGGTAGTCTGTCCACTCGGCAGGGTTATCGCTAACATGGTTGATCTGGAGTGAAGTTGGCGGGTTGGGAGTATCCTTGGTGCCGTTCCAGATACACCAGTACTTCTTGAAGAAGGGCGCATCAATCTCCCACTGAACCTCAAGTCCCTTGGGAGAGCTGACAATAGTGCCGGGTTCAATGTGATGCTTCTCACCCGTGGAAACAACGGTAAGAGTAGCAGAACCGTCAATGACACAGGCCAACTCGTCTCCAAGGGGTGACGAGTAGATGAGCTTGTGGGAACCATCGGAACTCGCCCCTGGAGAGGTGGGACCGGTTCTCCAGAAGCCAGACGACAGGTTTCCAGAGGTGCCAAAAGCTCGGGCGATTGTAACTTCGCCGTGGACTTGTTTGCCTAGCTTGGGCTCTTCCCATTCAAAGGGGGTCCATTTGCTGGCGGGGGGGACTTGCTTGCCGCCGTGGACGATGTGGGTAGTGGGCTGGGCCATGATGAAGTTGTAGTGTTTGGTAAAGAGTCTGAAATCTCTTGAGTTTTTTTGTAACGGAGAATTAGAGTTCAAGTGCTGTTGTGTTGCTTGATCAATATTGCAATCCATCAAGAAACCCCAAGATCTTATATACTTTATCCTCGAGAGTTCAACGGTGGCTTGATTGGCTAGCTACCTTATTGTACACATCAGATGATAACACAGCGTAACAAAACGCGCCAACGCCTATTGTCCCGTCATACATCCTCAACACCGTCGTGAGCTTGTCACCACCCGCTCAGACCTCTTCGCTTCCCTTCCCGACGACAACGTTGGTCGCAAAAAGGTTCGTCGCAAAATGAAGCCTCATGGTGATGATATGAAAGCCGTCTTAATAAGTAAGATACCCCTATTGGTCAGATTTCCGACAAGCCTCACGTCGGGAAAGGATGGCTGTCCAACTCAACCCCGCTTCCCCGGATTTTTGGAGTAGACCAATGATGAGGGGTGGTTTGTCGATTACTTGCCTATCACGACGGCAATAATTGCCGGGTTGGTATTTATTTCAAGAGGAGTTGTAAGAGGAGAACACGGTAGAGTCTTGATAAGGCATGTAGTAGACGTATAAAAGACGGACAGGTGTTGTAGTTGTGTATCTCTTCAACTCACTTCTCACCCCTGAACACACACTCAATTACCCTCAACTCAACCAACTTCAACACTTTCAAAATGCCCATCTACCTCTCCATGCAACGCGTCCGCTTCTCAAGCCCAGACGCCTATGAAAAGTTCAAAGTCCTGTTCGCCGACACACGCCGTCACCTCATGACACTCCCCGGCTTCCTGCACCTCACCTGGTGGGAGCACCCAGATGACAGAAGCTGGTACAACGAGTGCAGCTTCTGGACAAGCCGAGGAGCTCTATACGACTGGCACAAGAACACGTACCACAAGTACTGCAAGACGTGGGCTGCCAACGGCGCCATCATGGAGGACATTATTACAAACTTTGAACTTGTCGGAACTCGGCTCTTGCGAGTGTGCCCCGTTTGCAACCATACGCAAGATAAGAAATACAACCTTGCGGAGGAGCAGGCTGTTTTGCATGAGCAGTGCCCCGAATGCGGGTTCCACTTCCCCGTGCTTGAGGAGACGCCCTCGAGCTTTGCCGTCTTTAAGGACGTGCCGGGGTTGACAGGGACTGACAAGTCTAGTGGGGTCAAGGTTGAAGGAAAGGAGGGGGAGGAGCAGAAGGAAAAGCTGTGATTCTGTGATGTTGTCGTGTATGTGGAGTTGGTGAGATGCGGTTCAGGGGCGTTGCGGAGATAGATGCATAAATGAGAACTACATTTGAACAAACCATTATATTCATGAAGCGACTCTGAAGTAATCTCCCTTAGTGAATTGAACCAAAAGATTATTGTCATTTATTAAACCTTGTGAATTAAGCCGAGTCTTGTGTCTCATACCTCTGCGAATAACTGCCGTGATGTTCCGTAAGGCTGACCACCTGTGCCTGGACTCTCGGTATGAAAGAACAGCCCGAACAACATCCCGAATAGCGAAAAAAAACCCCCCATCATCTTAGCTCACTTGCAAATGCCAGCGTGTACTTCAACCTACTAACGTTACCATACAAAAGACGGTAGTATCATTTAGAGAGGTAACCCAGGCTGTCGGAAATCTCGCGTGCCGGAAAACTGACCAATAGCGTGACGTGGGGTATTGAGGATAATTGATATCCGGAGTGATAGCTCACAGCCAACGTTGGTAGATCTCCCACGCAGATAGGCAGAAATTGCCCGGATTGGGATATTTAAATTATCCAAAAGGGGTTGGTTTTGGGAATTACTTGAATCGTGTCTCGGTGTAATTATCGCAATGATAAGATAGGGGGCATCCTTCGGTGCTTGTCTATCAAGAACACCCTCGATCAACTACACGAAGCTGATACTAGGCTTCAACCTCAACTACCGCTCTACGTAGGGACAGAGTTACATCAAGCTGACCAGCACTTCGCAAGGCTGATCCGGCAGTCCGGAACCTTTGAGGCGTCTTCGCTTCAGTAGCATTCAACCGACTTGAGGGCTGTGATGAATCAGTTATCAGCACCTAGAGCTAGACCACGATCGCCTCAACGAACCCTCGATCAACCATTGGAATGGCGTGATGTTGCGTATTGCGGGGTGATTAGAGTTCATTAGCCCCAGAACATGGCGATAACCAAAGCGAATCATGATTCAACCCCCATCTCAACCTGGATGAGAGGGGAAAAGCCTCGTCTCTGGCACTTGCTCGGCAGTTTTGTTATCTTCACCGAGGCCATGTCGACCACTCAGAACCCTCCCATAAACCCCAGATTCTTGACCTCACCTCACCGTAGATCCCACGTATCGTGGCGCCCGTTGTTCTGGACCCCTGCCGCGTCAATCTCCCCGCTGTCCGAGTAAGCTGGAATAGACACGTGCATGGAGCTTCCCGTCCCTCTTCGCTTAAGCTCAGGGCTTCTCTTGTAACTCTTGTGACGATGCCGCGTGACCAACGCTGTTGCTCAACAGCACCCTGCTGCATTTGCAACTCTTCATTTTTCGTATTCTGACATTCATACCTCCTTGAGACACCCCATCATGCCCGACCGCAGCACCCCAAAGGCAACTCCTCCTCCGCGGCGAGGGAGAGGGGCAGCTAGATCACGACTGGGCTGTGTCACCTGCAAAGGACGCCATGTCCGATGCGATGAGGCGTATCCTGTATGCAGTCACTGCTCTCGACTTCAACTGGAATGCCGCTATCTACGACGACCACGCGGAAACCACAATGTAGGGAGAGCACCGGCTGCGGACTTGCAACCAAAACCACAAAGGAAGCTTCTGCCGTTACCAAGCTCCTCAGTTCCTCCCCCCATGCCGACGGATAGCCCCTCTCCGATGACCTCTTCGAATACCAATAACGAGGGGCAAGGCCCATTCACCCTCACCGAAGACCACATGGCACAATTCATGTCTCTGCCATGGTTGGATGACTCGATGGCCGCGTTTGGACACGGAGGTCGCGAAGTCCCTGATTTTGGCACGACCTGGAATGGAGAATTTGGAGGTTTCTTGGAACCTGCAACTTCGGCATCTCTTGACGGCGAAAGCCAGGAAAGGCTGAGTTCGTTGCCTTGTATCGAGTTGGAACGCGGCCCTGGAGACCTTCCGACGCCAATGACATCAACCATCAGAACCTTGCCTCACTCCCATTCTGATGCCGAACCAACGACGGATGATCATGTCATGTCAAAAGAAGTCCCCACGAGAACCGATCAAAAACACCACAGCAACTCTCGACAGAGCACAAAGAATATCTCTCAGGACTATCCCTCCGACCAAAGCCAAAGCTCGGATGACCTGGCTATGTTCGGGAACATCATGCAACCCCCGGCTGCTATGTTGATGGGCGGCATCAGGCGATGGCGATACCTCCAGCGATATCTCCTTGGCCTGGGCTCAAAGAACAATGCTGTCATGAATGCCCTCCTGTGCCTTGAAGAGGTTTTGGTTCGTGATGACTCCGACGCCTGCGACCAAGCTTCAGTTTCAGACGACAGCGCCAACCGAATCACCGAGCGCTACGAGGCAGCCAAGAGGCAGGTTATCGATCAAACCTCAGGGGAAAATCATCTTGAGGAACAAGAAATGAATGAACTCCTCGCGGCTGTTTTCCTGCTGGCCTGGATTCAGGTCATACGTGACCGGGACGCCGAGCGAACCGACTCCACGTTTCCTTGTGATCAAGCCGACTTCATCATCAGCAGCTGCTGTAACTGGAACTGGTACTCCAGACAGTTGCTCTCCTGGTTCAATTCGCTTGACAGCAAGGCCACCTTTCTTGGAGGGTCTCCGCTCCTTTCACCCAAAGCCCTCAGCATTGTCTCCCGCTATCCTATCCAGATCGTCAGCTGCAACTACGAGGAGTCCAAAGAAAGGCAAAACTCCCTTGGAGGCCAAGAGGATTTCCAAACCATGTCAGCCGGGTCTGTGACAGACGTCTCGGAGCACGGTGATAGCGCAACAGTGGTCCCCGCTTTGACAACGGTTGATGTCAAGGAGATTGTGCTCCGTGCCATTCTCCAGCCGGCCGCAGAGTGGTACCTACAGACACAGGCCTACTTCCGGCACATAGGATCTCTTGACAAGCACCATCGATCAAGGTTTACACCAGACGACGAGCTTGAAGTTGCGCTGGTGGGCAAGCAACTCCAAGCCGAACTATGGGATCTCTGGGCTCAACGGCCATCCGCCATATCGCTTACTGCTGATGATCTCGCAAAGACTGTGGCACCCGACATGGCAACTCGCCTTGAAGAGATCTTCAGCGTGTACCTAGCCAGTTTTTGGATTCTCTTTGTCTATCTTCATCGAGTAAGCTGGTGGCATCTGGCTCATACCTCAACAGTGGAGGGAGCGTTGAACGAGACGTGGGAGTTTATGCAACGGTCATACGCTGAGCGAGATGATTGTGGCCAGTACAAGACTGTCCACCCTGCCCTCATGTGGCCCGTCTTTGTATTTGGTGCTGAATGTCCAGACGAATCAAGAAGACAATGGGCGATTGCGCAGCTCAGAGGGTTGGCCAAGCCCAGGCCAGTGTTGGAGGTTGAAAATGGGGAGCTCGATACGCTTCCGGCATTCCGGATGAGCCGCGGGGCGACAAAGAATGCGAAAAGGGCGGCTTTGCTGCTCGAGTCTCTAATTGAGAAGCAAGGGAAGATTCGTGGCCGAGTTGATGATAGGGATCTTGCTATGGAGATGTTTGGGTGCCATTTCTCGATAGTATAGCCACCCATAGCTGAGATAGGTGGCAACTCGAATAGCTTCCATGCCATGTACAGTGTTAAAGCTGCGTCCAGAGCCTATACTGCAAGTGAACGAGCCATGATCTGCCTATCTATGCGGCATTCAGGGGCGTGATATCGTTTGAGCCTGATTCATTGTGTAATCGAGGGAAGTGGTGTCGTGTCTTTTGGGGGCGCCTAGTCCGGACTTCTGATCCGGATTTGTGCTGTCAGTCCGCTGATCGCTGCAGCGAGTTCCCTTGATGCTCATAAAAGGAGAATGAAAGATGACAGACAATATTTTGTCATTTCCAAACAGAATCAACAACTGTTGACGGTTGCTGTAGGTAAGCCAGGGGTGGAGAGGGGACAGGCAGGAGGATGAGCTGCATTCCCTTAGTGTACGGAGACCATGCCCGAAGATGGCTGGAGAAGACACCCATCAACTGATGTGCGTAGTCTAGAAGGCTTCGAAACATCATCTTCTTGCGCAATAAACCTACGCACTTGTTGATGCTGGTAGCACATCAGCAGGGGCCGTACCCCTCCGATTATTTGTGAGCCGAGGTATGCATCCCAATACCCCTACTGTTCCTAAAGCCCCATGGAACCTTTGTCTCTTTCGCGTCAATTTCGAGGATGGCGTAGGTTGCAATGGCGGTTTTTCGGCATTGACAAAGAGGGCGACCTTATCGCGACATCGCTATCGTGCTCGAATACGGTGCCAGTATAGGAAGGAGCTAGGAATTTCTAATGTTGCAAGGACTTTTGCAGTTTTGGATTCTAGGCTTGACTCTCTTGCAACGGCGACTAAAGCTAGTGGCTAGTTTGAGTATGGTCGTTGACGAGAAAGAAGGCAAGGGTCTTCGGAGCATCGCGAGCTAGGCCGTCCCATTGTTGATCATGTCCGTTTCAAGATGTCTTGATTCCCTGGTCATGAGCCAGGCTGTCACCTCCCTGGCTGCATCTAGGGTGAGTTCATATCCCCACAGTCAAAGCTCGTCGAGTTGACAGACTGCCTGTCGTTCATGGCCGATCGTCCAACTGACAATCAATCCTTGCAGCAGGTTGCATCAGTCACCTATCCACAAAGTTTTGGGATGACTTCATTTTCAGAGTCATCCAAGATCGGCCAGACAGACAGTGAACTCCAGCCCATGGCACTGCCAAGGCTCTCTCTCGGATGAGACAGACAGCGATCCCGCTACGGAGATCATAGGATTCAAGCGGGCCGAGGCAACTTTGCGGCGTAGTTTCGGGAGGCTGCCGGACCAAGCGAAGGTCGTAGGATGGAGAGCGGAAGCAAGGGGTGGAGGATGACAACCAATGACGGACTTGGGCACAATATCGTGGATGGCCAAGACAGAAGGACGGCCCAACCGTTGAGATCTCCTGACCAAGACAACGCAAAAGGTCTTTGATGAATGGTTGTGTGTTGTCGTGGGGGCTGCCTATTCTTCCGAGGATGGCTTCAAAGGCGGGGGTGGAGCCTTGTTTGATGTCGACGCAAGGCCTGGGTCCGATAAGCCAAGGAGCCGGTGCAAAGGAAAATGTCAAACGACAAGCAATCCCCTGTGAACTTTTGTAACATCTAGACGGAGTCTGTTGATAGCGATTGCATGAACCATCCTTGCAAAATGCGTGGCGTGTTGGAAGAAGCAGGGATGGAGGAGGAAAGTTGCCGGCACGGATCGGTGAAGATTGAGGTGGAGGGGACGGGAGACGGAAGGCAGCTGTCCACTGAAGGCTCAGGGGAGTTTGCCGTCCAAGTTAGTGAATCTGCACTATAATTTGCTTAATTTTCTGGAGGCGCTGGTCCCAAGACAGCTGTGTCTTGTCTTGAACGGCCCGCTGAATCGCAGCTTCCATTGAAGCCAAGACCTGAAGCCCCGGCGTCAGTGAGGATCGATCCTGCCTCACCTTGGCACCTTGGCGGGCGATCTCCTCCACTTCTTTCCGTCCCATCTCCAGCTCTCGTCTCCACTTTTACCTTCCACCAACATCTTCATCTCAACACCATGACCACGATCACAACAGGCTCAAGGAGCTAGGATGTACTCCCCTAGACGCCAGGTGCGTGAAGGATGTACATGCTGTAGGATCATAAACATATGGTAGCGCCGAACTTGGCTGCGATTGTCCAAAGGCTATCCTCGGCCACACCTTCTCTCGACATCACGCCGTCCTCGACATCTAGCAAGGCTTCTTGGCCAAGATCAACTCTCATCAGCTTAGCCTCATCGGCAAGCCAAGACGGATATCCAAATATCTCCGTCCTTGGCAACACCCGAGGAGGCCTGCCGTGGTATTGATGCGCACCAACACGGCTCAAATACCCTAAACAGGAAGTTGACTTGGTTATCGACCTTGGTTATGTGGCCCGTGGCTAAGGTGCGTAGTCCTTCTCGGCCGGCTCTTGGCCCTGGTAGGGCTAATATATCCAGGGGGTTTTCGTGCCGGTCTTGGATGCGCTCAACTTGTGGAGGGAGAAACACCCGGTTCGACAGGCTTTTGGGCGCTTAGCTATAAGCCTCCTAGTGACAACCACAACAACAACCTTCGGTTTATGCATCATTTACGGACCGATCCTGGGCTCCGAGTGGCCATGTTCCTGTCCACGCCTCCCAATCAACGGCTCTAAGACACCCGCCTTCCCTTCCGAGCCATGTCTAGCAACTAGTTCTCTACACCAAGTCACTGCCGTGATGGGAACTTCACAACTAGAGCAACACCAGTCATGTGGATATTCTAGCCTCTGCTTGTTCACTTATGTCGATCTTGAACAGGTCAAGGGGGGCTTTCGATATGGTTAGGCTACTAGGGCATATCACCTTCACTGGGTCCGCCAACAGTGCTTCATCCTGTCACCCTCGCTTTACGCCTTACCAATGTCTCTCAATTCATTCCATCAATTGGTCGATTCACACCCCTCCAGGGTGTTATATCCAGCCCCAGTTTTGAGATCCTGGCCACTTATCAGGGTATCGTGATAGAAGATGCCGATACATCCTCTTGAGCCTCTGACGTTTGGCCGCAGGCCTGAGGTTTGCATTTCAAGAACTTTTGAGCTCCTGCCATCGCGAAGGACCTCTGATGCTTCACTTCGTCACATCTCTCCTTCCTCTTTGCGATTGGTACTGTCGACTACAGTACCATGACAGCGTCAAAGACATCTCCTCTCCTCCGGAAGAGGAAGTTGACGACAATCTTCCCCTCTATCATGCAGCGAGGAAGCTCCATGTCTGAGAATGATTGCAGGGTGACCACGGGTCTACTCTTTGACAGCAATGAGTAGAAGAACCATGATGCCATAGACGGACTCGGGAGCATCCTTTCAACGACTATATAAGATGGCATGCCTCCTATCCAACAGACGTGTCTTCTCATCCTCACACACTCCAGCATCAGCAACCCCTTCTCTGCCCCTTTCTCTCAATCTTTACAATGGTCAACTTCAAGAACCTCGCTATCGCTGCGACTACCCTCTTCGGGCTCACCCTGGGTGCTCCCGTTACACAGGGCGAGAGCGGCAAGGTCGTTCCAGGCAGCTACATCGTCACTCTCAAGCCTGATGCTAAGGGTTCAGAGCTCACTAGCCACCTCAAGTGGGTCGATGATGTTCACAAGCGCAGCCTCAGCAAGCGTGATACCGACAACGGCGTCGAGAGGACCTACGACGGCAAGTATGGCTTCAAGGGCTATGCTGGCACTTTCGATAAGGAGACCATCCAGGAAATCAAGGACAACCCCCTTGTGAGAAGTCCCATCTTTCACAGTCTGGTCACATGATGCTAATACAACTGACAGGTTGAACTTGTTGAGCAAGACCGTGTCTGGACCCTTGACTGGATCACGGAAGAGCAGGAGGAGGCCCATGTGCAGAAGAGGGCTTTGACCACCCAGTCGAGCGCCACCTGGGGCCTTGGAACTGTCTCGCACCGCACGAAGGGCTCTACTAGCTACATCTACGACACCAATGCTGGTCAGGGCACTTATGCCTATGTTGTTGACACGGGCATTCGAGCTACCCACAACGAGTTTGAGGGTCGTGCTACTGCGGCTTGGACTGCCTTTACCGGCGACAACGCTGACACCTTTGGACACGGCACCCATGTTGCTGGCACCATCGCCGGAAAGACATACGGCGTTGCCAAGAAGGCCAGCATTATTGCTGCCAAGGTCTTCCAGGGGCGAGAGTCGACCACTGCCATTATCCTGTCTGGTTTCAACTGGGCTGTCAATGATATCATCAGCAAAGGCCGCACCACCAAGTCAGTCATCAACATGTCTCTGGGTGGCGAGTACTCTGCTGCTTTCAACAACGCTGTCGAGTCTGCTGCCAGCTCTGGTGTCCTCTCCGTCATCGCTGCAGGAAACGAGGCGCAGAATGCCGGTAACACCTCCCCTGCCTCGGCTCCTAGCGCTGTGACCGTCGGTGCCATTGACAGCACCTGGGCCATCGCCGACTACTCCAACTACGGCAGCGTCCTCGACATCTTTGGCCCCGGTAGCAACGTCCTCTCTGCGTGGTACACCAGCAACTCGGCCACCAACACCATCAGCGGAACCTCCATGGCTACTCCCCACATCGTCGGCCTTGCTTTGTATGGCATCTCGGTTCAAGGCGTGTCTGGAGTCAGTGGCGTCACCAACTGGCTCAAGACTACGGCCACCTCTGGCAAGATCACGGGCAGCCTCCGCAGCTCCCCTAACCTCATCGGCAACAACGGCAATTCGCTTCAGTAAATTCCCGCATAACACGTGAGGGATGAGGGTCAACTCATAAGCGATATGCGGGGGGAAGGGGATGAGAGACGGGGAAAGAGAAGAGACAGATGAGTAAGCAGGAGTCAAGATGGATAGGAGACACTCTTTTGTTGGACCTGTATATACGAATGTGGTTTTCCTTTTGGAAGTGACGAGGGATATGTCGGTTGATGGATCGGTATATAACATTGTTGGAGTGATCTGTAGACATCGTTGAAGCTGCAGTACCGTACATATTCAATCCAAGACAATGGATTACATGACTCTTGTGCTTCTGCAGCCGCCTATTGAGTGGCAAGCATATCCCAAGTTGAAGCCCCTGTCTTGTGCCATGCAGACGCCACAGTCGCGTTCAGCTGGGTTATTCTGACGAGATACACCAACCAGCCTTATGCGAACGGGCTAGGCATGGGAACGGCTGTGGCGTCCTCTTCATTTCGGCTTCTAGAACCTGATGCCGCGCACCACGTGGTGCTCACGATCTCTACTTATTCCCGGCGATCTCAGACCCGAATAGGCACTCTGAAGCGCTGCAGCCTTTTCGGTCCGGATAGCAACACAACCCATCCATCTCGCTTTTTTCCCCCGCAAGATCTCTCTCCCTCTTTTGAAGTTTAGGGAGGGGATATCCGGGGATGGCACGCTTATCTATCAACATTGGGGTACAGGCGTTTAAAATGGACGACTTGGAAGTGATTGTCGATGACTTTGAAGGTATCGCTGAACTAGGCATTTCTAAACTCCTAAGCGGATCTGATCTTCTGAGCTGCAAGAAACAGCCCAGTTTCTTGGCAAGTGACTACTGTCACTCTCTTTGGTCTGGGTCTGCGGCTGAAGGGTGATTGACAAGGTAAAGGTACAGTGAACCAACAGCACAAACCCATCGACGCCTGATGGGCATTGTCAAAACCCTCGGGAACAAAGCCGGGTCCTTGTTTGTTCGATCCTCCAATACTCGGCTAAGAAATGCTTCTGCCTAGCCGTTCGACAGCGTATCCTGGTAAATCCTTGTCCAAGGCCACGGAGTAAGATGCCAAGTTGAGAGCTTCACAGACAGAAGCCGCCGCAGATCAAACATCATTTTTTTCCTTTTATCAATCTTTACGAAAAAGGCTCCACGAGAATCGGGTGTGATCGGATGTCGTTCAAACACTAGAAGGAGAGAATCGGCCCAGGTGGAGTTGCAGTGTGGAAAACATGAGCCTTGGCCTCCTCTTGTGAGAAATATTTTGACTCCATTCCCACAAATCTCTTGATCTTTTAATCCCCACTCTCTTATTACCCCCGTCCCGCAAAACTGCGGGTTGGGTTTGGGGGTGTTTTTTTGGGGTCGCCTGATGCTGGGGGTTAAGCAAGCCTATGTTGCAATGATCCCCATATCCCTCCCCTTTGGTGGAGAAGAACAGGTTTCAGCGCGTTGTAGCATGCAAATGCCGTGCTAGTCTGATGGAGCTTAAGAATGAGTGAGAAAAAAAATAGAGGCGGCGCGTGATGGTGTCAGTGCTTTTGTCAAGTTTTGTTAGTGCGTTTTTGTAAGAGATTTCAAGCGTATAAGTCGAACATGAGAACATGGAATTTGGGTAAGGAGACAAACCATTAGTCAGGTAAACGCGTATTCATATACTTCATGACTACAAACTGAACCATTGAGGATCCTTCCCTCACCGGCTCGTTACATTGACGTTACATCCATGACACTCGGATACGCCCGTCCAAACGTGAGATCAGTTGACGGGCCGCCCTTTGACTGGACATCTCTGGCAAGGTCAAGACAAGACGTCAGATACTCAGAAAGGCAGTCCCAAGCATCTTGATGTCCAAGTATACAGGGACCGAGTAGCATCCATACGACCGGGCCTAGTGGTAGGCATTGCCTATTCTAGCGCTGATCTCCGAATCAGGGCATTCCACCCACCGAGCCGCCGGAGTCTCACCGAGGTGGTCCCCCCGGGGGTGGGCAAGAATTCTTCCCAACCCCTGGGGATCCTCGCCTGTCTCCGGGTCTGGGGTCCCCGGATTGGCAAATAGCCTCCCTTCCCGCTGAGAGTAAGGCCTAAATGTCTCCAGGCTGGGGGGGAAATCCTGCGGGGAGTCATGCGAACTGAGAGCAGCAGTAAGCTGTCACCGTGGAGGTGGATGATCGGATGGCAAGCCGTGGAGTCAGGTTGATAGTGCCATATAAGAGAGCCTCATCCCCCTCTGAGGCTAACTCTTGGTCTTGGTCATCGAGACGGGGCTAGCGACTAGGCCTACATACCTCTATTTGATTCTTTTTTTCTGCGCTGCATTGTTTCCTACTTCAGCGTCAGTAATCCTTCCATCATGGAGTCAACAGTCGAGGCGCGAACCAAGCTCGCCTACAAGAATCGGTGGAGGACTCTTTACAACAACCCCAAGCTCATCGTCATTGCTCTCTTTGCCTCGTCCGTCTCCCCAGACCATCTTTCTTTCAAAGGTTAACCTTCTATAGATTCGGTGGTTTCGAGTATGGCTACCAGCAGGGTGTTCTCGGCCAGTCCCTGGTCATGACTCGTTTCAAGGACAACTTCCCTTCCGTCGTCGAGTCGTCCGGCGCCACCGGTTGGCTCACCTCCATTCTGCAGCTTGGAGGTATCCTGGGCTCGCTGTCTGCCGGTGTCCTCGGTGAGGTCATCTCAAGAAAGTACACAATGTTCTCAGCTTGCTGCTGGGTCATCCTGGGCAGCTACCTCTATATCGGTGCCACGTACCACAACCCTTCCATGCTCTATGCCGGCCGGTTCTTTACTGGTATCGGTGTCGGAACTTTCTCTGGTGTTGGGTGAGTATTCGCGGAGTTCTGCTCAAGTGTTAGACTAACACAAAGCCAGTCCCCTATATAACGCCGAGCTCTCCTCCCCCGAACTCCGAGGTTTCCTCGTCTCCTTCTATCAGTTCTGTACCATTCTCGGTATCATGCTTTCGTTCTGGATCGGATACGGTAGCAACTATATCGGCGGCCACGGCGATGGCCAGAGCAACCTCGCTTGGATGCTTCCCTCCATCATTCAGGGAATCCCTGCCGTGCTCCTCGCCCTCGGTATTTGGTGGCTCCCCTTCTCTCCTCGATGGCTCGTCAAGAAGGGTCGTGATGAGGAGGCTATCAAGACCCTCTCGTACCTCCGAAACCTTCCCATCGAGCACCAACTCATTCAAGTCGAGTACAAGGAGATTAAGGCCGAGTCTTTGTTCGAGCAGCGTGCTTTTGCCAAGCAGTTTCCCAACCTGGCGGCCAAGGAACAAGGTAACATGTGGGTGCGGGAGTTTGCCCAATACTATAACATTGTGCGAACCTGGGACAACTTCAAGCGTGTTGCCACAGCTTGGCTTGTTATGTTCTGGCAGCAGTGGAGGTAAGACCTGGTTTCTGAGAGGGAAGGAGCCAACTTACTAATGGAAAATCAGCGGTATCGACGCCATCATCTACTACGCCAGTCAAGTGTTCGAGCGACTCGGTTTGACCGGCGGAACTCAAGCCCTGCTTGCCACTGGTGTCACCGGTGTTGTATTCTTCGTTTCGACCCTTCCTGCCATGGTTATCATCGATAAAGTAGGCCGCAAGCCTATGCTGTACGTCGGATCGGTCGTGATGTGGCTTTCGATGGTTATCGCGGGAATCATCGTCGCCAAGTTCCAACACGACTGGGAATCTCACGCGGCAGCTGGCTGGGTAGCAGTTGCCTTCATATGGGTCTACGTTGGAGCATTTGGAGCTACTTGGGGGCCAGTTTCGTGGACTTTGGTTGCTGAGATATTCCCCCTTTCCATCCGGTCGAAGGGGTCGTCTATCGGCGCGTCGAGCAATTGGGTACGTTCTCTCGCCTTCCAGATTGGGAAACAACGATGACTAACCTAAAATTAAGCTTAACAACTTCGCGGTTGCCTTCTACGTTCCTCCCATGTTCGAAACGCTCGAATGGGGAACTTATATCTTTTTCGCCGGTTTCCTTGCCTGCAGCATCGTGTGGCTGTACTTCTGCCTTCCCGAGACTAAGGGAGCCACTCTTGAGGATATGGACCGTATCTTTGGAAGCCGAACTGGTGAGGAAGACGCCAAGATGCTGGATGAGGCCCGTCGTGACGTTGGTCTTGGCCCTGAGTTTGAGATCGATGCTCTCAAGGCAGAGAAGATGCTTATGGAGGGCGAGGAGGCTGATGCTAGACCTACTTCTCACCATGAGAACGCCTAGATGAAATCATTGTACGGTGGTCTATCTTGGGCAGGCTTATGAACAAGTGTTGCTCGTGGTGCATCAAGGGATAAGAGATTTGGTTTATCCAAGACTGTGCCAACTAGCCGAATGAGTCCATATGAATTTCATGAAGAACCACAGCCTATACAACTCCAAGTGTCCCCAATTTGTGCCCAAATACACACAAGATACTCAGGAATGGGATTCTTGATATCCCAAATCGAGACGTGAAGTCCATCCATGACTAACACGCCAGTGGGGGTAAAACAATTTTTAGAAGAGACTTGACCGTTTTGTCATCCTAAGAGTGCTATCTTTAGGGGATTCCGACCTTTAATAGAACCGTTAGATCTCTTCAAGTTTATCTATTTAGAGACAACCATAAATACTTGCAAGAATCATCTGGGGAAGAGCTCCCTGGTTGCCAAACCGTTGCTGGCCCGCCAACGGTCGGCTAGTGGGGCCACCTTAGCCTTATCCTTATCACCACCAAAAATCTGCAGCAGAGAATTTTCCTCGAACAAACATGACCATGGATGCAAACCACAGCAGCAACAAGCACGCTCCCACGGGTCTCGACGACCCAACTGTGGCATAATCATTCTTGTTTGCTTGCAAAGACGTAGGTATATCTTTTCTTTCATCTCCCATCTCCGCAGCGTTCTCCCTCACAGTCACTCCTCTCCCCTCACGAGTCTTCCTCGCGAAGGTCTTCTACGGACGGCACGTTTTGTGTTATCCGCCTGAAGTAGGCTGAAGGGTGATTTAACAGCGAAAAGGGAAACCCTCCTTCGGGAGAAGTTTTCTTTGCTGCTGTAGCTGCCAGAAGAAAAAGGGCCATCATAGTCCGCGTCTGTTGTGTCGTCCCATTTCGGTGGGATTGACTTAATCCTACACAGGCGAGGCTCCAGGAGCTCCGACATTTCCGTATCACGTTGGTCGTGACCTATGTGTCACGCTTTGACACGTGCTTTGTAGTTTGGTGTTTATCATTGGAGGAAGAGGTTCTGAGATCAAGGTTCTGTCAAGTGGAAACTATGTATTTCTATGCCAGACTACGTCATTGAGCTTCACTGCAGGCTTATCCTCAGATCATTTGTTCAATAAATCCAATTCATGCACAGCAACCACCTCCCATGCCTGAGACCGCCTCTTGATGCCCACCGTTGTAACATTCAATCTTGCAGCACAACCACCATCTGTAGAGCAACTCGCTCAAAATCACACCCTCCAATATGGCTGAAGAGTCCAAGTTTGGAAAGCTTCCCCTCAGCACCAAGGGCCCTATCCACTGTGCTCTTACCGGCGCATCCCTTCTCAACACTCCCTATCTCAACAAGGGCTCTGCGTTTCCAACGGAGGAGCGCCGCAAATTTGCCCTCACCGGCCTGCTCCCTCAGGGCGTTCAGACACTTGAGCAGCAGTGCAAGCGCGCATACGATCAGTACTCGACCCGGCCAAACGATCTAGCCAAGAACACATTTCTCACCTCACTAAAGGACCAAAATGAGGTGCTCTACTACAAGGTGGGAAGCACATCTTGGGCGGTGCGAGAGGCTGTACTGACCGTTACAAGTTGATCCAACTTCATCTAGATGAGATGATGAGCGTCGTCTACACTCCAACCGAAGGCGACGCTATCCAGAACTACTCTCGTCTGTTTCGACGTCCAGAAGGCTGTTATCTCAACATTCATGAGCAGGATCAAGTCCACGACAACCTGGCCCAGTGGGGAAATGCAGAGGATATCGACTACATCGTAGTGACTGGTCAGTTACCACTCAACCATACGGAACTATTCACTCACAAGCATCATAGACGGGGAGGAGATCCTCGGAATCGGTGACCAAGGCGTTGGGGGCATTCTCATCTCAGTTGCCAAGCTGGTCCTCACGACTCTATGTGGAGGCGTTCACCCAAACCGTACTCTTCCTGTCGTCCTGGACTGTGGGACAGACAATGAGGAACTTCTCAGCGACGAGCTGTATCTAGGTCTCAGGGAGAAGCGTGTCCGCGGCGAAGAGTACGGCAAGTTCGTCGACACGTTTGTCCAGTCGGCAAGAAAGCTATACCCAAAGGCATACATCCACTTTGAAGACTTTGGTCTCAGTAACGGTCAGTTCCTTCACCACGGCAAGCTCAATACATCCTAACGTGCATACAGCGAGACGCCTTCTGGACCGCTACCGCCCAGACTTTGCCTGCTTCAACGACGATGTTCAGGGCACCGGCTGCGTGACCCTGGCGGCCATCATGGCAGGCCTCCACGTCAGCAAGCAAAAGTTCAAGGACCTCCGCATGGTTGTCTTTGGAGCCGGAAGTGCCGGTCTCGGTATCGCGGATCAGGTGCGAGATGCCATCGCAACCGAGGGGGACATCAGCCATGAGGAGGCGTCAAAGCAGATCTGGTATGTTTTTTTGATGATGCTCTACTCTTCCTTTGATGATGCTCTATTTTTCCTTTGACGATGCCTTACTCTTCCTTTGATGATACTAAGCTCATACTCTGAAGGTTGATTGACAAGCCTGGTCTGCTCACGAGCGAGATAGAGGTCTCAGACGGCCAAAAGAGCTTTGTGAAGGCAGCATCAGAGTGGAAAGACAAGGACACCGATCTTCTCTCCGTCATCAAAGCCGTCCGTCCCAACGTCCTCGTCGGCACATCCACTGTCCCCGGAGCTTTCACCGAGGACGTCATCAAGGCCATGGCCAAGCATCACGAACGCCCCATAGTCCTCCCTCTTTCCAACCCTACAAGACTTCACGAAGCTAAACCCGAGGACATCCTCAGCTGGACCAACGGCAAGGCCCTCGTGGCTACGGGGTCTCCTTTCCCACCTGTCAAGGGTCCTTGGGGCGAGTCTGGCTCCGAAGTCACCATCGACATCGCAGAATGCAACAACTCGGTCGTCTTCCCAGGTATCGGCCTAGCATGCGTACTCTCCCGCGCGGAGCACCTGACAGACCGTATGCTCGTCGCCGCAGTTGAGGCCGCGGCCTCACTGAGTCCTGCACTCAAAGATCCAACTGCCCCTCTGCTGCCAGATGTCAACTCGGTGCGAGATGTCAGCGTTCGCATCGCTCGACATGTGATCCAGGTGGCTCTCAATGATGATGAGGCGACACAGGAGGGCATCCCCGAGGAGGACGAGGAACTTGAGGAGTGGATCAGAGAGCAGATGTGGAATCCAGCTTACCGGCCGTTGAAGTTTGTCGAGATGGAGACTGCAACTAGAGAGGCAAGGGGAGAGCTGAAGCGGGCCGGAACCGTTCATCGCACCGGTCATTTATAAGGGGCGCAGCAGGATGTAGATGAGGGACGTATCTAGAAGTGACATAGAATGGTCAACCGGTTTATTTAGAGACTCGAGATACTATTAATGCCATCCCAGTAAAACTTGACTCCAACACTGCCAAAAAGGAAACACCAATATCCAATCAGCTTCCCAGGCTAATCAGGAAGCTCTGGGAATAGTTACACTTGAGAGTCGCCAACCCTAACGCCCGACCTACCTTGCGATACAGCGCTTCTAGCGTCTATGACACTGGCAGGGGCAATCAGATAACACCAGCCCGAGCTGCCTCACCGGCATTGTCCTGAACCAGGTCTTCCATCCTCCTCTTGCCCTTGCCCAGGCCACCCTCGCCAACGCCCATGCGGCGAGCAACATATCTCTGGGCAACAATGCCAACCGAGAGGTTCAGAAGCTCCTCAAGCCACTCAGCAACCCACTCTCGAGGGTCGACACCACCGCTCTCAATGATATCCCTAATCTCCTCGGGAACATTGATTTCCGATTCATCACCCTCCTCGCCGGAGCGAGGGGTGAGGGGACCAGCAGAATCAAGCCACTGAACCCATCGAGCGGGGACAGTCTGGCTGACCGTGTAAAACTCAATGTCATGAACAGGGTCCAGGATGAAGACGGCAAAGCAAATGAGCTCCTCGTTCTCCTCCTGGTTCTCGACTGTGGAGGAGTCCTTCTCCCTCTCGGCGGAGGCAGTGCGGGCAAACAAAGTCTTGTCGTCATCCACAGCGATGGCCTGAACGGCCAAAAACAAGTCCGAAGTTCGGACAGGGTTGCTCTCGCTCACGTCTTCAGTGGCCTTGTGCTTGGCTTCCTCCAGTCCGCCGCTGGCAGCAAAGTATTCGGTCGCGTACGATTCGGCGTTGGCGCGGCACAGTTTGGTTCCCTCGGCCAGACCCTTAATCAAGCCAAGCTCACGGGGAGAATCAGCCTGCCTCCACCAAGGACCATCGTGCCATCCAGTAGGGTTGTCGGTGCTGCGTCGCGAGTGGCTCTCCTGGCCACGCTGGACGACGAGAAGATCACCGCCTTCGACCTGCGACATGACATGACCAAAGACATTGTGGATGAGAGGATCAAGAGAGGGGTAGCCGACGAGATCGTGGGTGATGTGGATGAGGAGTCGCTCGTGGGAGCTGATAGGGGGCGCGAGGGTGTGGAGGATGTTGGTAAAGGTGGGAAGAGCTCGGTGTCGCAGTTCATCACCTGGGTCCTCGATCAGCTTCGTCATAAGGGCGGATGTCTGGGATTGCACCTACCATAGGTTCGGAGAGTGGTGACATCAAGTCCCCTGATGCCCTTAACCTGATCCGCCCACTTCTTGGCCTCCTCGTTCTGTTGGATTTGCGTGACGGCAGCCTCTGCCTGCTTCATGGCAGCGCTGGCGGTGGACAGAATACCACCCCACCATCCTCCACCAGACTGCTGGGGAGCAGGCTGTGCGGGCTCAGGAGCAGGCTTCTTTTCGGCCTCATGAAGCTCAGAGCTGGTGGCACTTGGGGTGAAGCTGGCCCTCAAGCTGCGTGCGCTGTCGGTGGACTTGCGAGGGTCACCAGCGGGAGGTGTCGCAGTAGATCGGCGGGCGGCATCCTTGAGCCGGGGTGTATGAGGTCGCGAGGGCTGTTCGGCGGCCAGTTCAGACTCAAGGTCGGCAAGAATGTCCTGGTCGGCAATGGCCTTGGAGGCGGCAGATGTAGGCTTGGCCTTTGTGGTCTTTTTGGGCTTGGTGTCAATGCCTGAGAAGAGGTCGTCGAGGTTGTCGTCGTCGGCGGCCTTTGTCTTCTTGGGCGCCATGGTGAAGGGTGATGGCTAGTTGAGACGACGCTAGAAAGGAATGCGGTGCCGTAGAGGGCGCTTGGTTGTTAGATGGAGGTTGAAGCTGTGATGGTTGGAAGATGAAGGCGGGGGGTTTGATATGTATGTGTATGTGTACTCGTAAGAAGGTTGTTTGGCGCAGAAACGGAAACGGCAAGGGATGTTGGAGCTTGGGAAGGTACGAGGCAGCAAGGGTCCAATGGGCCTGGGACTGAGAGGAGACGATAGAAGAGAGCGCAACAGGGAATGCTACAGCGTTGAATGGTTTTTGGTAGATAGTATAAGTCTTGACTCTGAGTGCCGTTTCAGTTTCGAATTAATACATGATTTTAATTTCGGAGCAATTCTACAAGTTGTCAACGTCAAGAGTCGAGGTGTAATTATGTCGAGTGTATACCTGATAGTTACAAATATCAGATCTAGCCGCAGTGGCATCTAAGCGGGATCAGGAACTTGGCCCAGGTACTCCCCGCGTACTGGGGCGACTTACAACAGCAGACCAGCCACTAACACGCAGCGATTTGCAGCAGGCGACACAGTCACGCTCATTCCCAGTCCCGGGCGGTACTAGCGCGGCTGGCCTTGAAGATGCGGCCCCTGATTCGCCTGATGCGTCCCGAGCGGAGGAACCCCGGGGGAGGTACCTTCATGGCCGGGGGGGTCTCTGGCTCTGAGCCTTGTCCGGTGTTAGAGGGCGAGGCTTCACTGGCCCGGTTGGCACTAACAGCGGGCGGGTCCTTGGTTCAGCACCAGCCAAGGTTGTTGGCTTATTCGGACGGACCACGACACCTCGAGAAAATCAACCTACGGAATCAAAGCCTGGCCAAAAGGAGACGAGACCGTCTTCATCACCCGCGTCTCTTGACGTATATTGCAATCACTCGTCGACGCCGCATGATACGGCTTGTTCTTGCCGGCTTCTGTATGCCCCTTGTTGCCTTTGTCTTGTCCTTGTTGCATCGCTACGCTCTACTCTTTTTTGCAAGTCGCCGCCAGTTCCCTGTACTTCAAAATTCTTTCTCTGCCCTGGCTCGCTCTTCTTACTCCAACACGCTCATCCCGGGTCTCATTGTACCTATTCATATCACCCTCACTCAGCCTCGTCTCATCTGGGCACCCCTTCCCTAATCCCCAGCGTGTCTGTCCATCTTGGGAGTAGGTCGTCTTTATTTACACGGCGCGCCCGCTACGCTCCGTGTTCTCGCATGACGCCTCTCGCGGGCCCGGCTGGCCGCTACACGTCCTTGCTGTAACATCCCAGCCTCATCCCCGTCCAGCCTGCCCTGGCTGACCATGGACCGCTCGCGACGGACAACTCATCGCCGTCGTCCCTTGGGAGCTTCAGCCTCTCCCACTTCAGCTTCGGAGGCTTCATTTGACTTCAATTCATCCACGAGCCCCGTTGTTGCCCACACTAATACCACCCCTCAGAGTGCCAGTGCTGGCGCTCGCCGCTCAAGCAAGCCGCTGCAGCACGCATTCACCTTCTCCCCCCCAGGTAGTAGCCGCGGCCTCAACCCGAGGAAGCGTTCTACAACCATGGACAACTATCCCATGGCCGACGAGGACGACCATGGCCCTAGGAAGGGCGGTCACAGTCTTCGCAAGCGTGCCCGCGTGGATTACACGTTTGAGCACATCGACGACGATGTCCTCGTCCCCAACTCAACCTCGTCTGCCCGCGGTAGGAAACGCAGGTCCGAGGTGACTTATGAGACGGATGACTTCTACAACACCGACCCCAAGAGGCGAGGCGCCTCGATGGGTGCCGATACGCCATCGACTCGTCGGAGGAACCCGTCACGCAAGTCGAGTGAGATGAAGGCCTATCATGAGGCCGCCCTGGAAGACGACGACAATGACGTACAAGACACGATAGAAGTCGGCGCCTACTACTCAGACGCCGATGAATCAGAGTTCCGCGAGCCCAGTGGTTCAAATCACTCATCACCTCAAGCCAACAAGATGTCACCAAAAACTGACCTGCCGGCACTGCCAGCCGGTCATATCCCTTCAAGTAACCCCAAAACGGAACACACAATACCCGCTCCTCCTGTAGAGCAGAAGCCATCAGGAGTGCCTCCTGCGGTGAAACCTATGGATGAAATATTACCTCAATCGGCAGAGCCTCAGCCAGATCAACTTCCCAAAGTGGAACCTCAACCGGAAGCTTCAGATGCACCACAAACGCCCGCGCCGGTTGACCCTGTTGACACTGCAGCCGTTGATACTGTCGACCCTGCACCTGTCGACAACCCACCTATTGATGCTAATACTGCATTGTCACCATTGACAGTGCCAGCTAACCAAGATCGGCAAATTTCACCTGCTCATTCACCAGCGCCCGAAGAGGTAGCAAACGGTGTACTTGAGGCACCTGTCAATGAGATTGTTCCCGATCCTATTGTTCCTCAAGATATTCCCACATCCCTCTCCTCCGACAACACAGACACCGACCCAACCTCCTCTTCCAACGTCATCAAGGAAGAAACAAATCATCAACCACTTCATCAAGTTCCCCAATCACCAGACCAGAAACCGCCATCGCCAATGCCTCAAGAGGACAAGATGGATATCGACCCGGTCGAGAAACCCTCTTCCCCTCCCCCACAAGACGTTGAGATGGCTGAGTCTGCTCCCCTCGTTCAAGAGCCCGCACTCGTAGCATCACCAGCGCCCATCGAAGAAGCGCCTGAGAATGTTGCCGAGCCTGTCAAGACTGACACTGACGTCGTCGCCCCCGCACCCGTCCAGGTGAATGGCGATTCGACTGATGCCGAACCCGAGGCTGAGCCACCAAAAGAAGAACTTCCAATGGAGCTCCCAAAGGAGCTTCCAGAGGAATTTCCCGAGGAGCCTCCAAAGGAAGAGCCTCAAGTCGAGGAGCCTCAAGTCGAGGAGCCTCAAGTCGAGGAACCTCACATTGAAGAACCTCAAATTGAAGAACCTCAAAAGGATGAGCCAGAAGATATGGGCGCCACTGCCACCGCTACCGCTACCACCAACGACACTCCAATCCCGGATTCACCTCAGATTTCTCCTGCCAAGGATGAGCCCGTTACTGCTCCCAGTCCCGCCGAAATCAAGGCCGCAACTCCTCCTCCCCCAGCCGAAACCATTGAGACGCCAGCTTCTTCGGCGCCTTCAGAGACAAAATCCAGCCCTCAGAAGCCCGTAGCTCCTCGACCTGCGATGGTGTTTAAGCCACAGCCAGCGCCAGTCGGACGATGGGCTCACCTCACGCCTTACATCGATGGCGAGTACGTCTTGTACCCTGAGAAGAAGGGTCGTTCCGAAGAGGATGGCGCAACCGATGAGCCAACACCTGAAGGCAAGGACACCGATCGAGAAGGCATTGACATGGAGCCCATGGTGGAAGACAACGACGACAATGCAGATGCTGCGGCTCCTGAAGCACCTACACCTGCGCTCAACACTCCCACCCGCGGTTCGCCTGTGCCTGATTCGACAGATCCCACAACTTTCAACTCGCCTGCTCCCGGTGGAGACGACGGTGATGATATGGACGTCGGCGACTCTCAAGAACCAAACGAGCGTCGCTACTACAAGTATCGCAAGCTCAGAGACCCTGCCGAGTACCTCAGTGCGATTGAGGATCACGAAAACATGACGACCGAGGAACTGTTCGAAGTTCTCACTGCCATCAACGTCTCTATGGTTCAATGGCAGCAGGAATGGACAAGCCTGGGCAAGGTGGTCGATGACTACGAAAACTCCCTTCGCCGACGAGCGGCTGATGCCAAGTACGAAGCTCGCACTCGCAACCTTCACCAACACGGAGTCAACTATGAAGAGCCTGACTTTGCCGTCAAGGGCTACAAGGCCCGCGAGAAGGAGAGCATGAACGAGACTCGCTATCTCCAGGGCCAGGATCGTATTATGGCTTCTTCCTACGGCTTCGAGTACGACCCTCATCCTTCCAAGATTGGCAAGCAGAACCCCGAGACTCAGCAAGTCGGAATAATGACCCGCGGCCGATCTCTTCGAAACCAACCTCGACAAACTGCCAAGGCCACCGAGACTGAAGAAGTCACTGGCAAGCGACAGCGCAAGCCAGTTCAGCTATTTGACCCCGCCACACAGGACATCAGCCGAAGCTCCACGCCTGCGCCGACCCGCGGTGGTCGCCGTCGCAAGGGCGCCAATGGTGAGGAGGAGACGCAGACCAACCTTTCCGTCAGCTTCACAAACGAAGTGCCCTCGGATACTGAGACGGCCCCCAAGACAAGGCGCAAACGAGGCCCTCGTGGTAAGGGTGCTGTGCCAAACATTGTCGAAGACCTTGCGCCTACGCCTGACGCTGAAGATACTACACCTCAGCAATCGCCTGCCAAGCCTACTCGTCGCGGCCGTGCCAAGCCTGCCGTCAAGTATGAGGAAGCAGACCCCAACGAGTTTGTTGACGAGGAGCCTCAGGAGGAGAAGCCACCTGTCCGCCGTCATCTCCTCACCCTCAAGATTCCCAAGGGAGGCAGCAAGCACTTTAGCGAGCCTGCTTCAGCCATCACCGACAATGGCGAGTCCCGTCCGACCACAGCCTCATCGGAGGAGTCCTCGCACACTGCCGAATCGTCCTACTCGTTCCGGCCTAAGCGACAGAAGCGTTTCCGCGACGACCCCGATGAGACTGAAGAGTCTTCCCAGGCACCCCCCAAGAAGCGAGGCAAGCGAGCCAGCGCCGTCGGTATCGCCAGCGAAGTTCCTTCTGCCGCCCCTACGCCTCTGCCTCCCGTCGAGTCGGCCCAGACCCCCAACAGCCGCAAGGTTCAGAAGATCAAGGTTGTTCGGTCTGGCCTAGACACCAAGAATGGAGCGTCTGCCCCTCCTCCTCCTCCCCCTGTCGAGGAAGGCGAGGAACCTCCGAAGGACTACAAGTCGATGACCAAGTCGGAAAAGATGTCAGCATCTATGAAGAGTGAGTTGCTTAGGTGGATTATGTATGCTCACCTCAAACTAATACGTCACAGACCGTTGGGCCAATGGCAACATGGCTGGCGCTGTCGAGAAGCGTAAGGCTACCCTCGCCGCGAAGAAGGCCGCTCAAGCCGCCGCCGAGCAGAGACTGGGAGTCGTGGCCCCCAAGCCCAAGGGTAAGGCCGCGGCCAAGCGGGAGGCTGCCATGAAGTTGCAAATGCAGCATCAGATGCAGGAACAGCAACAACAGGCACAGCAGCAGATGATGCAGCCGCAGCAGCCACAGATGCATCCTCATCAGCACCAGCATCCGCTTGAGCACCAGCATTCGCATGGACATCCTCAGCATCCGCTCCATTTCGAGCAGCAGCCTCAACTTCACCAGCCGCACCCTCAGCATGCTCCTCCTCCCCCTCCACCCCATCAGCCTGGGAACCAGCCATTCATGCATGGTCACGCGCACAGCCACAGTCACAGTCATAGCCATGGCCACAGCATGCCTGGCATGGGTTATCCTTACCAGCAGATGTGAGGAGACACAAGTTCATGACGCACTCCAATCTCTGGGCATGTCCTCGACATGAACCCTCAGCCTCAGCATCATGCATCAAAAGCAAACAAAACAAAAACAAAAGCCACAAAAAATCATCCCTCGAGCACCCGAGGATCATTCATCCAATCGCTCGATGTAACATGTTCACAAAGCATCACGGGACTTTGCATCAAGGTCCCTTCCCAAGGTACATACAGCCAGCCACTCTGTATACTATGAAAAGGACTCACTCGGAAGGGGGGTTTTTTTGGATGCTCTCGTTTCGCATTTTCGTTTTCCTCATCACTTTTCTAGTTCCTGTACACTAGACTCATAGTTGTCTCTTTTTTCCGTTTTCCTTTACAGTGTTCTTTTGCTCTTTTTCGTTTTCCAGTCTCATCTGTTCTCTCAAGCTGCATAGTATTGGCTTTGCATAATGATTCGGCAACAACAACGCGAAGGGGGAGAGAGAGAGGAGGGCCGAACATGAGAAATGGAGGGTGGATGTTATAAATGTGATAGCAAGCGCGATACGAAAAATTCCAATGTCGAATTGTCGACAAATTCTAGTCTTTTGCTTCGTGAACCAGCTGTCGTTGATCAAGCTTTGGTATACCCCGTTCGTGGTGTGGAACCAGAGTGTGTGATCTGGTGTACCAATTGATTGACATCATCTCCGGGCTATCCTTAATGATTCTCGTCAGTATCTAGATACAATTCTTTTTTTTTTAACATTATGAAATATCAGAGCAGAGCAAGGTAATCTAAGTCAAATGATGGCTCTGATAAAGGGATCTAAATTACCATGTATCTATCTGATCCTCATCCTATGATGTGTGAAAGAATTGTGTAAGGTGGGGCTGTCAAACTCTCGTGTGAATGAGATCAAGTGACCTGAAAAGGTGAAGTCTCTCCAGACCCAGTGACCGCGCTACACCAAACAAAACAAAAATAACATTTAATGGACCAGTAGATGGTTCGGCAACCAGTTCCATCTAATGCTTGTCTTTTTTCTCGCCATGGTATTGTACAAGGGTGGTGCCCTTGATTCCACTGTGATGCCATAGGGTAGTATGGACACTGGGGAAAATGTTGGACGCATCAACTTGGCTACCTACCAACCTCTTAACACCCATTCCTCCTCATTTCATATCACAAGGATTAAATAAATAAAGTTGACCCTCACCAATTCTTATCAAAAGGACTGGATGAGTATATACCCAGATATTCATGAGGGCTTGGCATGGAGAATGACTCCAGTTGTGTGCCAAGTAGGTAGCGGCTAGTGTGCCTAACATTTAATCCATTTTGGTGTTGCGCACAACAGACTCCGCTTCTCTGCAATTGAACATGCAGAATCGTCCAATGGGCTCATACCGAATACAATACCTTGCAAAGAACAGTAGCAACTGTCATGATACCTGAGTTTCCATCACCATGTCCACATCAAGCTAACATCTTCACGAGCACACAGTCACAGCATCGGGTCTCGTTCAAAGGAAATGCAAAACCCAAGAGCGAAAAAACACCCCTCCAGGAAAACCAGTTTTTGAAGTGACTTTTGTTTTGTCCCTGATGTGATGCCTGGTAATGTGAATCATTCCTTACACGCCGCAACCGAAATGCAAGAGCCTGCCAATCCAGCGACCTTGACCTTCTTCCTCCGTTGTCTCTCCCCCAGCCTTTTCCTCACCGGTGATTTATTATTCACGGGGAGGGTAAAAGAAGGGGGGGCGAACTTTCTAATTCGCGCTCTAGCTTGATCGCATTTCAGGACAGAACCACGCCTTTTGTCTTTCCTTGACCCCCAAGCAAGCACCTTACATGACAACACCAGAGTTGCTGGCAATACGCTGGGATAGAGTTAGCAGATGAACTGTGGGAGAGAAGAGAGACAACTTACGGGCCACAGCTCAGCAGCCTCCTTACCGACGGGGCCGGTGATGGCAGAGCCCTTCATCTCACCCTTGGGGTTGACGATCTGCAAGTTTTGTTAACCAACCACATCCCAAATTCTTGCAAGGTAACCAAAACATACCACACCAGCGTTGTCCTCAAAGTACAGGAAGACACCGTCGAATCGCTTCCAGGGCTTGGACTGTCGGACGATGACGGCGGGGTGGACCTTCTTTCGGAGCTCGGGCTTTCCCTTCTTGACGGTGGCCATGACCATGTCACCGACACCACCGGCGGGCAATCGGTTCAGGCGGGCGCCGATACCCTTGACGGCGATGATGTAGAGGTTTCGGGCACCGGAGTTGTCGGCGCAGTTCATGACGGCACCGCTGTTGGGCTTGTTAGCGCTTCGGTCGGAGTGGTTTTGCTTCGTGGGTGGAGGACGTACACAGGGAGACCCAGGGTCATCTTGAGCTTGCCACCAGGGGCACCACGCCTGTAGAGATCATCGTCAGTCTGGTGTCTTGGAGTTCATTGTTGCGTCTCGCTTCGTATTTCTCTGCCAAATTTCTGCCACGGCGCCCTCGAGTTGGAGATGGTAATTGTCGTCGGATGGTCGAGCTGTAATTTTTCAGACAGCAGGTATGCTCGTGAACGGTGCCGTCGCCGTCAAAAGGTCGAGTCGACGATGCCGTGCAGAGCTCGAATATTTCGTCGTTTTCGTGTGCGCGGGCGCACCGATCATGTCGATTCCCTCCCACCCCGCCATGAAATTTATCCCAACTTTCCTCTCGCGCGCGCTCCTCTCAAGTCCGGTGGCAGAAAAATTGGCAGAGAAATTGTCGACGATGAGCCCGCAAAGAAGAACAACTTACGAGAGCTTGGCCATTGTGTCTGAGGGAGGGGGTTAGTGTGGCGTTACTTCGTAAAGAGTCGTGCCGGGTCTCGAGATGCCGTCGTGAACAAGAGCTTTTCAGTCGAAATTTTCCCAAACAATGAGATAGATGTGTGGGGTGAGAAACCCTATGGGAAGCGAATGGGTCTTGTGCACGTGACTGGGAGGTGGTTTTTGAGAGATGGCTCCAGGTGGCCAATGAGGATCCACTTTGAAGAACCACGGCATCTCCCTTGGTGAAGAGAGTCACTCAACACTGTCAGTTATGACGCTGACGAATTTGTTTATTGAAGAAGGTGTCTACTTTATTCGCTTCTTGTTCTATTTCTTCTCTCGTTCTCTCATTCATTCTTTTCCACCCAGCTCTTTACATAATCTTACACCACGACCAAACACTCAAGCACATCAACACGGTGCTACTCGCAAACTCGACTCCACCCAAACCGCAGCCCCCATCGAACCACCAATCCACCACGCATCCAACCAGAGCCCATCTCTCCAAGCCCTGATCCCACACATTTTCCTGCTCATAAGTCGATTTTCGAGACGCCGACCTCAACGTCAAACGGGCCAGATGCCCGGGCGAAGCACGCCCGGTTAGCTCAATCGGTAGAGCGTGAGACTCTTATGAGTTCACCATCTCAAGGTTGCGGGTTCGACCCCCGCATCGGGCTGTTCCTATAACACTATAATCAAGATTGAGAAGTGCTTTCTTTTTTTGCTGTTTTTGCCCATTTTCCGTAGTGATACTTGGACACTTGCGTCTAACGGGCGGCGAGACAACTTTTTGCCAGAGATAGAAATACCTTTGCAAAGTTGGCAAGTATGTATAGACAACCCAGTACAAGTAATTTGATCTCATTAATATCCTGTTATTGTATGACTGTCAATAATCAGCCCCTGTCAGAAGTTGAACATAAGCCAACTAACTCCCTACCCTACAACACGACACTGTCATGGAATTTCTTGTTCATATGGGAGACGGATGCTACTTTATATTATTCCATTAGCACCTAAATGAATTCGCAGTTTGAATTTTCTCTGCTGGCAATATCTTGAAACATGCTGTGCATCTCAAACGTTGGAGAAGACTTATGTACCAGACATTGATATGCCGAAGAAGGCTACTGGGAAAATTACCTGGGGATGATTTGTTATCGCCAATGTGAGCAATGGTTTTGTTTTATTTTTCATTTTACAAAAAAATCATTCCATTTAATAGAAAAAACTCATCCATTGACCGTCATGATACCCAGTTCTTTTACACGCACACAATAAAATCACCGCTCACTCATCACCGACCGAACCGGCCCCGTCCCCGCCGCTTATTCTCGGCCGCAACCCCTGCCTCCGCCGAACTTTCGGAGCCGATAGAAGCGGACCTCGGCACGATGTCACCCCCAGCCCGCGCTTCAAGTCCTCACATGCTCCTCCCCTCAACCCTCACAACCCAACACCCGCTGTCAATTACCCATGCCTCCCTCGCTCAATTCCATTGGGCGCCCCCTCTCACAGCTGCTTCTCCGCAGCGGCTCTAGATGTAGCTTTGTTGTTCCCCGGCCTTCGCAGCGTCTTGTTCCTTCGATACTCATCATGGCTTCAAAGACTCAGAAACGACACTCTTCTTCTTCTGCGGGCAAGCGTCCGCTCTCGGACCCAAGACCTAGCTCTTCAGTACTTCTCGTCTCTCCCGTCAACGACGTGTTGTTGCTACACCGTGTTCACACCTCAACATCTTTTGCCTCGGCGCATGTCTTTCCCGGCGGAAACCTGGACCCTTACCACGACGGTGTGATTCCCGTCGCGGACTCACCAGAAAGGCATCAAGACGGACTGGCGTACAGGGTCGGTGCCATAAGAGAGACGTTTGAGGAGACGGGCATCTTGCTGGCCAAGAAGAGCGGCGGGTTGATAAACCTGAGCATCGAGGAGCGGGACGCGGCGAGGAAGCAGATCCACGGCAACCAGGTCAAGTTTCTCGAATGGCTAAAATCCGTAGGCGCTGAGCCAGACCTGGGTTCGTGTGTGGAGTTGCATTGACTGAAAATGAGAGAGCTGATGGTTGTGATAGATGGCCTTATCCCCTTCACACGCTGGATCACTCCCACCATAAACGCAAAGCGTTTCACAACACAGATGTATCTCTACATGCTTCCTCTGACACGCGGCAACATGCCGTCTCAGATGCTCATTCCAACTCCCGATGATGGCATTGAGCATACCGCTGCACTCTTTGCCCCCGCCAAGACCTTCCTCTCTCGCGCCACTGACAACTCCATCATCCTGTTCCCTCCTCAGGCATACCTCCTTACCCTCGTCTCTGACATATTCACAAGCCGATCTGGATCCCTAGAAGAAGGACCCCTGCAACTTGCCGCCCAGCGCAAGAAGCTTCTCTCCTTTCTCAAGAGGACACCGACAGCAGAGACAGAAAAGGGCAAGGGGCACAAGACAGCAACAATCCCGTGGGGCGACAAAGTCATGAGTCCTCACAACCTCTTTATCAGAAACGAGGACAAGAGAGTCGTTTTAGGACTAGACAAGCCTGGCCCGGAGCTCAAGGGCTCGGAGAGGGGAGGAGATTGGGAGCGTGTGGTTCTCGTCAACTTTGGCAAAGGTGGACCGACCAATGTTGAAGTCCGGAGGAGAGAGGACGTCTTGGAGGAGGAGAAGAAGAGCCAAGCGAGTAGCGAGAAGCTATAGATGCTAGAAGTTATATGCTCCATATTCAAACAACCAATTTGGCTGTATTCAGAGTGGAAGTTTGTCTAAATCCATGTAGATCGCACCATCTAAACTCCACCGGGTATCATACAGCCGCAGTCAAATCCAACACAAACCATTTTTGCCATCCAATGTTACAATGCCATTTTTGAATCACCATCCCTTTTGCCCCTGCGTGCTCTCCATCTCCAAGCCACGAATACTTTGACTCCAATCATGCCAGTTAAAGTCGTCACCCAACATGTCGACATCATCGCCCCCTGTGTTGTCAAAGTTTTCGTCCATGGCTGGATATGGATCAGGCCACAGGTATGGGGGTGGATTGTCATCCTTGGGTAGTTGTAGTGGCTGCTGAGAAAACGGCTGACCTAGTCCCCCAAGCTGCGTCTGTTGCTGCTGGGGTAGTTGAGCAGCCGCCATGCCTGGTGTACTCATGGAACCTGATGATGCGGCGGCTCTCATCTCGGCCGATCCGATCTCGTTCAATGGATAGAATGTCGTCATGGGGAAAGTCGTAGTTTGTGACATCAGCTCGTTCATAAGTCCCACAGCGGCTTCCGAGAGGTTGATATTTGATGGTACCTCGCTTGCTGCGGGCGTTCGGGGTCGTGATTGTGATGTTGGTGGTCCTGGCTGAAGCATCGCTGGAGGTGCCATTGGACTCATATCAGCTGGTGTGGATATGGGCACGTTGCTTCCATCTGATCGCACAAGGGTCCTCCACCTCCCCCTCATCTGATCTATCTTATCCTCGCCGGTCGGTATCAAGTCAAATGACGTTTGGGCTGGATTCATCCGCTCCTCAAACTCCACACGACGTGCCTCTTCGGGGTTGCTGCGAAGACGGGCAATCTCTGTGGCTCGGTGCTTGCCAGCTCTAAAGTAGAGTTTCCGTATGGGCAGGATAACAGACGTATAATCGGCGGAGCGGACGTATTCGGCTGGGTGTCCCTCATAGCCGTTGAGCGCCTGCCACCCACGTTCCACGAGAGGAGTCCACGGACGACGACAGCTCTCGATGAGGAAATACGCCATGGCGTGCCAGTTTGTGTAGGTCTTGAACAGCCATCTGTACTGCTTGCATCGCGAATCCGTGTTGAGAATGTGGTTGTACTCGATAATCTCGATCGCTGCCACATAGACACGCTGTCTGGCTTCGGCCGAAAGCTCCCCGTCTGAGCCAGGGAATAGCATGGGCTGGTAAATAACGAGACACATCTTGGCCATGATGATACGGGCAATCATGCCTGCCATCCAGTACAAGGGGTCCGCATCACCCATCACGTGCTTAAAGAACCTGCCCTCGACTCTTTGATATACCTCGATTAGCATCTGCTCTCGTTCTGCGAGCCCGAGATCAGCGAGGGGTGCCCCCTTGGGGCAAAACGAAGCTGATGCTGATGCAGCTCGGAGAAGGCGTCTTGAGAGACTGCAGATTTCATAGCGAACCAGAGCCACCGCGCAGTCAGAGCGGCCCTCTCTCGGCTCGGGAAACTCTGTCGTCTCCGGGTTGATATCAGCGTCGTTGATGTTACTGGGCATCTGAGTGTCGTAGAACAGATCCCCAATGATTAGATCAGTGCCGAGTTCATCTGCGGACCGTAGATCTAGTACGAGCAATGCCCACCAGAGACGTCTCCGCATTTCAGTCTCAAAGGGGCTCAGTCCAAAGTGTGATCCGTCTCGATGAAGACCCATGCCCTGGGCGAGGTGAACCACCAACCCCGTCAGGGACCAACAAAAGCGGCTCTCATCTTGACGCCTGACCACGACGAGGAATATGACAAAGGCTTGAATTATCGAAGTGTCGGATGAGTTGAGGAAATTGGCCTTTGCGAGGGCTTGTTCGACAGCGAAACGATATTGCGTAAGGACGTCTTCTTTGTTGATGCCAAGATTTGCTCGAACCTGCATTACCTAGTTAGTTTTGCTTCAATACTGTCACATAGGACTGAACTTGCCTCTTCGGGTTCAAGTGAAGTGATAGCAGCGTAATAGATGGCCCACACCAGAGCTTCATTTCCGGGTGAGAGCTGCTCATGGTTCTTCCTCGCGTCACGGAATATCGGCTCCATTGACGGAATATGCAGCACTTTGATGAGTGGTTCTACGTTCTCCTGGTAGACAGACCACAAGAACGGAATGTGAGAGGGTAGAGGGCGGCATTTCTCGAGGTTCACATCTGCTGAGCGGTATCCAAAGATGAAGGAGTGGTGATCTGCCGGGACTATCAATGAGGGGGAACTATCTGGAGTCTCCTCATAATCTGAGTCGTCGAAGTCTTCGTCGGTAAGTTTTTGCGTCTCTTCTCGAATAGAATCGAGCTAGAAACAGTTAGCCATCTTCAGACCGTACTACGATAAGAGAATCTAACCTCGTCGTTGAGCTTTGCCCAGAAGCCGTTGCTGACATATCTTCGGCTCCCACTTTGGTCGTTCAACACCAATCGCCCAAACTTCTGGTGTAGTTGCTTTCGGCTCGCCTCGCTTTGATCGCTTGCGGCATCGCTACCTCTCGGGCTCCCACTTGGCTGACCCAAGACTCCAGGGTGAGAAGATGCGCTGGATGAATGCCTCTGGGGAAAGGTTGCTGATCGGTCAATGTTTGAGGCCTGCGCTCCATGTGCGGCTTCAGGCGAATTGGCCGACGAGGGACCCTTGCCCCCGGACTCGACCTCGATCTGGCCGCTCAGCTCCTCGACGATGCCCTCGAGCTTCCTCAGGCGCTTCATCAGCTCAATCTCGCGCTGGCTCGAGTTCTTTGGGGGCGCATTGGGGTCTCTTGGGCGCGGCTGCCGCGGTGCCCGACCGGGGGCGGGGAAGACGCATGGGATCTGGGCTCGGCGGCAATTGGAGCAGGGCATCTGCTTGTCGCAACGGACTTTGCGACGGCGGCAGGTGACGCATGATCGCGGGTTCAGGGCCGGAGTGCTGCTCCCGGGTTGCTGGATCGGGCTGGTGTGGGCGTCGGGGCCCGTGGTCTGATAGACGGTGACGCTGCCTTGCGATGACGGTCGATGTTGATGTTGGCTGCTGCGATGCGAGGTCTGATGGGGATTGTTGGACGGCGGGGATGCCGTGGTGGACTGCTGTGCGGCGTCGGGAAGTCCCTCGGATACATTGTTGTTGAAGCTGTATCCGAGGGTTAAGCCGTCCAGGTAGGACATGTTGGTTTGGTGTCACGTCGGTCAAGGGACGGCGATATCTGCTAGTTGAATGGTAGATGGACGTGGGGTCGATCGTGCCGTGTCGTGTCGTGTCGGGCAGAGACGGACAGTCGGCGGGCTTGGAATGGACGCTAGGGTCTGGTTGAGGCCATCAACGAGCTGCGATGCAGTAACGAGGTTCTGCAAGTTGATGCCCGAGGTCTTGCATGCGAAGAAGCTGTCGTGAAGCCAGCGAGAGCCAAGAGGCTGAAGAGGCTGCTGTAGAGGTGGAACATGGAATGAAAAGAGGACCTGCTGCGATGATTCTTGTGAGTGGGGGTTTGCCGGCGATCTGTTGGAGCCTGCTCCTCTTGGCACCACTCGGCGAACGGAGACAGGCGATGTTTTACAGCGCCGGGGCCGCCCAAGACGCCCTAACACTCCGGGGATAAGAAGGTGTATGTAGTAGGGCTAGCCACCTCAGCTGCCGAGGACGGGGAATTAGGCACCCTGGAACTAACAAAAGCTGGGCATCAAGATTGGATTCTTTTGATGTTGAGCTACTTCAAGAGCATTTCTTTCCTTCGCTCATGTTTCGAGTCAGCGCTAACCCCATATTCACGATCCAACGAGCTTTCGACCTTTTTTGTCTCTGTCGTCATCACTCAATCACGTTTGGCCCTAACATCGGAGAGCGGCATGATTTGACCACCGCTCTCTCTCCTCTTTTTGCCTCTTGATTGACATCCCTGGATGGATCCATCCAATCCCACCTTTCCAGAGACTGACAAAGGTTACACATAACCATAAACAGCCATGCCGCCAGTTAGTTCATGTCACAAGATCAGACAAGACCACACACAGGTTCTATTGAACCTCTTGTTCAGTAGTTCTGTCGGACTTCCGAGCCCTGCGAGGACCGACCGGTTATTTGTCATGCTTTGTCGGCGCATTTTCACGCCGGCCGTCCGGACTCCGGAGGGTCGGAGCTTTCGTTGGTGGCCGGGATTTGGAATTCAAGATACGATGACTCAGGGTCGCAATTGAGTCATTCGGACAGAATAAAACAAAGAATAATCAAATAAAATGTTATAGAAGCGGAATCCGACCTCATGTCCGAGGCGTCGCTAAACTCAGCCTGGAGATTCCTTTGTTCTTCAACGACGCCAACCTTCACATGTCAAGAACTTGCCTTCAGCCGGCTGTGACGCTGATAGTTTGCACTTTGGAACCCTTCATGCTTTAGCCAAGCCTTCCCCACGAACTAACGGTTCGTCTCGATGCCTCATCTCGACCGATAACAGGTGTCACGCGCCTCAGCTCAGCTCAGCTCGTTGCACATTGCACATCGGCTCCCACACGGGTTAAAGAGAAAACAACAAGAGAAAATGATGGGAGACAACGAGATAACATAACATCCATCAGCCTTAGCCTTAGCTTACCCTCCTCTACGGGGAGTTAATAAAGTATGACAATAATGAAGTAAAATAGATCTAAAGTAATCCGTTTTTAGGATATTTCTCTTATCATTTTAGGATCTTTCATATCAAGTTACTCATGATATTTGAGAGGAGTTAGACCATCTTTGCTGATAGTGTCTACCGCGCGGTTCCCTAGAATCCTTCTCGAACGCCATTTCCAAGGTGCATGAGGCCGTCTCCGATGTATCACAAGGCCAACACCTCCAACTCCCCCAGGTGCAGCTGCCAATCCCGGACGTCGTCTTCCGATAACCCAGGCCTGCAGCCTCAACGTCATGGCTTCGGAACCGAGAGTCGCGACGACCAAGTAGCCGGAATCACTTGACGCTTTCACTTTACGCTGTCAGAGACTA